TGCAGCCATGAAATAGAAGTTAATGTTGGGAAGGAGAGCACCAGGAGGTATCTGACAAGAGGAGGCTTTACCACGTGCTGGCAGATGGAGGGCATCTGCACTACAGCTGCTGTACATGGGTTAATGGCTTTATTATGGCTGTATGTACTCAAACCAGGCAAAAGGAGAATGACTGGGGTGGGGGGGGAAGGGGGGGGAACCCTTGGTTCTTGGAATTGTGTGACAAAACATGGCTTTCCCCAGGTCCTGGGAAGCTTAAGGAAGATGTGGGAAAAGAGCAGACGTGTGTAGAGCTGCATCCTCTTATGTTCAAACTGGTGTGGGCTGTAACCAGTCAGACTGTAGCTGGTGACAGCCTTCGCTTGCTGCCAAAGGGAACTGAACCAATGGGCACTTTCCTTCCTATGTCTGCTGCAATGTCTCTGGGTGCCTCTTGGTGCTCTCTGGCCTCAGCCTCCACTTGAGGGCTCCTGAAAAAACTCAGACTGAGGGTTCCTTTTGTTCCGTGCCTACCTGTGCCACTAGGGTGTGAAGGAAAGGATGTTGGTTGTGCTGTACTTAGCTGCTGGCTGTTACATCAGAGCAAAACCTTTGGTTTCTGTATTAGGTAATGGTAGAGGTGAGCTGAATCTGGCCAATGTATGTAGTATTGATGGGACCTGCCAAGTTGAACAAACCTGCCATAACCTCTGGTAGATGTGTGTTTTCATGGAATCATTAAGACCTCTAAGATCACCTAGTCCAACCCCCAACCCACCCCACCATGCCCACTGCCCACGTCCCTCAGTGCCACATCCACGTGGTTCTTCAACACCTCCAGGGACGGTGACTGCACCACCTCCCTGGGCAGCCTGTGCCACTGCCTCACTGCTCTTTCTCAGAAGAGATTTTTCCTAATATCCATCCTGAACCTCCCCTGGGGCAGCTTGAGGCCATTCACTCTCTCCCTATTGCTGTTACTTGGGAGAAGAGGCCAACCCCCACCTTGCCTCTTTTCAGGAAGCTGCAGAGAGCAGTAAGGTCTCCCCTGAGCTGCCTTTTTTGTCTCACCTGCTTCTGAAAGCCCAGACTGCCAGTCCTGTGGGATGACAGATTTTCTTGACTTGTCTCATCATGGATAGAGAAGTCCCACTTGCGACTGTTCTGTTGGCTGCCTCTGAATGACTATGTCCCTCGTGCTCTCCCAGGGAGAGCATGAGACAGTTTGCTTGAAGCTGTGCCTTTTGATTTCTTGGGGGATAAAGGGAGTGTGGTCAGAAGGAGAGAGCAGCTACTCAAAGTTGGAGCAAGGACTTATTTTGAGCAGCATGATGATGCCAGTGTTTCAGAGCTGCCCCTGACTGTCCTGTGTCCATGAATGGAACTGGGCGATTCACGTATGAGGATGGGTAAATGGCGAGTGGAAATGTGACCTACAGTTCCACAGCAGAGAGACAAAGATGTTGGTGGGTTGTTTGGAATGGGAGGAACCACAGATTGTGAAATGTGCTTCTCCATGTTGGTTAACCTGCACCAAGGCTGGAGAACTGCACAGACACGCTCCAAGATGTCATCCTCTCACTGCCTTACGTTAACACAGGGATAAGCTGTGTAAGCAAACATCCCTTTGATCAGAGGAGGCTCCTGCAGTGACTTGTATGGTGCCTTTGTGTTTCTGGTGCCAGGGTGGTAGTGTCTTGTACAGACCCACGTCTCTCAGTTTTATGCATTGTACGGGGCTCACATCCAGTTTGCAAAGAGGACTTGCTGAGTTTCACTTCCTACCTCAATTGAAACAACAGAAGTTAAATAACCAAAAAAGAAAAAAAAAACAAACAAGCAGCCCAGAGTCAATGTTCTCCCTTCTGTAATTACAGACAAACTTGCCAACTCCCAAAGTGTCTTTTTTTTGACTTCTGGTGGAAAAAGCTTCTTGTAAAAATGTCTTTCACACATGAGTTATGAGTGCCTCAGTGAGCCATCTGAAAAGGTTCTATAGAAAGGAATAGAAGTACTGAAGCTTGAGTAATGACATAGTTATTTTTGAAGTCAAGGTACTTTATTCCTGTGAGGTGCTGCAAATTAACTTACTTAACCACTTCTGAGTGAGCAGTCTTATTGCCCTTGGGGACTGGCAGAGCTCAGCTGAACTGTGCTAGGATGGCTCAAGACACTGCCATCTTTTTCCCTGGTGAGAAGGCAACAGGGTGCATGACATCTCAACTGCTGTGTCCCCACCCTGCACTGCTGCCAGTGCAGCCCCCTGTGAGGTGAATGGACTGTGTCGTGGTGGATGAGGAATGGGGGCCAGGTGCCATCTCTAGGCTGGAGATCCTGCTGCAACACTTAGCAGCAGCCCCTATGTGTGTATAAGCTTTGCAGCTTTCAGCTTGAACTTCCTGGGTGATTCCATGAAAACAATTCCTTACAAAAAATGGACCTCATATCTTGCGTTGGAGGATGGGTGATCATTAAGCAATAAGCAAAGTAGGTAGTTTGCATTTTAAATGTAAACAAAATCCTATTTGCTTTAGAAGGTTGAGCTCACAGCAACAGGGCTGGCTGCACTTTGTGCTGGTGATCTCCATTTGCTGCTTACAGCTCTGTCCAGTAGTTGAGTTCAACAGAGTGTGCTTTGTAGAATCATAGAATCACAGAGTGGCTTGGGTTGGAAGGGATCTTAAAGACCATTTGATTCCAGCCCCCCTACTATGAGCAGGGTCTGTGGCTAACTTGTAGCACTTAAAGAAGGCAACTGCATGGGTGGGCATCTCAGTTGGGTTTGGAGCAGCTGACCATGGCCACTCAGGTGCTGTAGATGAACTGGACATCTGGACCAAAACCTAGAAGTATTCAGTAAGGCAGCTAGAATATGGCTCAAGTCATCAAATTGAGGAGATATTTGCCCTTCAAAGTATTTTATGACCCATTTTTGACAAGTTGGAGTTGACAGTGCAATGAAAATTGTCAGGGGCTCCAGGGAAATGGCTGTGAGAGGTAGCACCTCCTCACTGAGCCATAAGGGCATTGAGTTGGGATGCAGGAGCTGTCCCCATCATGTCCCTGTGCTGTCCTCCTGTCACGGAGCACCGGGTTGGTTGAGGCCATCCCCAGGGAAGTGAGTGGAGAGCATTCAGAGCCCTGGGTAGAGCAGGGGCTGGGATCCAGATGCTTCATATCCGCAAAGAGCCATGCAGTCGCTCGCCTCCCTCAGCTGTCTCTGGTAGTGAGTGGTGTCTGAGTCAGCCTGATCCAGCTGTTTGTCTTGTTAAGAATGGCTGAAGTTGGTGACTTCTGTCAGTTCTGGTTTTTTTGGTCTGTCTGGTTGGTTTTAGTTGTCTTTTTTTTGTTTTGTTTTGATTGTTTGACTCCTTAAATTGAAGTCACACAAAACAATCGTCCATAGATCCTTATGGATAAATAGCTGCAATAAAGCTCAGTCATTCAGATCTCAAGAGGTGACTACTGGTTGGACTCTGTTCTTCTGTTCTGTTTGGCAAGGCGCTGTGCACAGCTATAAATCACTGTTCTGCCAAGTCCTCTCCTTGTACGTACACTCATGCACGTGCTCTCTGTGAGCACCACTGGCTCTGCTACCCTCCAGCTTATCTTCTGCATTGCCCAGGAAAAATATTTGAGACTTCCAAAATAAATGGGTAATTAGTGTTTATTACAGCTAAGCTGAATTCTGCAGAATAATCTCACTTGTTTTACACCACACAGTTTGTTTCTAAATCAAAAAATCATGCTGTTGAGTAAAATCTGACTGGGGTGCATTGATGGGGAGATGAGCATTATGGAGTGATAAAGGGATGCTGTGATGAGACAATTGTGGAGACACAGTCCAAAATGAGGATAAGCAGTAGAGTGGTGTTTGATTGCAGCAGCACAATGCAGATTAATATTTGGTCAGCTGAAGAAATAGTCAAGGAAGGCCACAGAGCTGTGATCGTGTAGAGGAAAATATTTTCAGACAGGCATGAGCCTGTGAACAACCTCCATGCAGGGCAGCTCAGAGCTGGAGGCTTCACCTCTGACATCTTCTAGCCCAACAATTTCGTCACTGTGCAGAGTGGACCTAGCCTTGGTAATGCTTTTCCTTTTTGCAAATATCCTGTGTGTCATCTGTGCAGAATTAACAAGGTGTGGAAATTCCTTCGTTACGAGAAGTGTGGATGGTTGCTGGTAATACAAATAGGAAGCATGTAGTGGGAATCATAGAGACAGATCAGGGTGAGTCACGAGGAGACTCACCAATGCTTATAAAAGCTCTGCTGTAGTCTCTATTCTGTTGTGTATGTGGCTATACTTCAGGGTTTTAGCCATGTAATCTTTTTCTTTTTAATTTTAGTGACCTTCTTTGAGATCGCCGGATGTATTTTCTTCCTGCATGATTCTTTTTCCCCAGTTTGTGTACAAAAATGAGATCTGATAGTTTGATGTAACTTAGCACATCACTAGTAGCTGAATGCTGTTGATATTACAGCACAGTGCTCTCAGTTCTCTGACCAAATGGATTACTGTGGGGTTTTGTTTTAGCAAGCTGTTTGTGCAGTTACCTGGCATAGTGCCTGGCCATGTGTGCATCCACAGCAGGTAGCTCCACTGAACCTAATGAGGTGTACAGCCTGCACGAGTGTGCAAGAGAGAAGACACTTTTGTCCATAGGTATTAACTACTGGTAATGGGCTATTAGCACTTCATATCTGAATGGCATAAACAGCCATAAAATGGATGACTCTCATGATCAATAAGTGCAGTAAAATACAAACAAACATACAGTGCTATGGAAAAATACTCAGGACTAGTCTGGAAGTAGCCATTTCTGTTCTGGAAGGTGTTTTGCCTTGAAGAGAGAGGAGGAACAGCAGCTGTTTTCTTTACCTCACCTCTAGGAAGCTACCTCTGTGATTGCTGTGTGTGTGTTGGGACTTCATTGCACAAGGGAAATTTCTGTCTCCTGGTCCCCCTTACCTGCTTACCCCCTTACCCCCTTACCACGCCAGGCTCTGCGTTGTGCTGGGGTGCACAGCACTGCTCATGGTTCAGTTGGTGCATCACAGCAGCCTTCTGCATGATCCCTTCTTTATTTCCCTCATATCGTCTCATCTTTTTATGACTGTTAATATTATTTTTTCCACAGGAAAATTCAGATTGAGAAGTGCTCTGAAAGCATTTCTAAAGCAGGAACGCAAGTGTCACTTGTTCTTACCTTTGGCTGGGGAGTTGGTGTAAGCTATCAGGTCAGAGCTTAAAAGCTGTAGGAAGATTAATAAGTGACCTGATTTTTCACTAGTGGTATAGAGGGCTGATAAAGTAATTGCTACAGGTAAGTGCAGAAATTTGGCAAGCCTCTTTACTTGTGTCCTTTCTTGTTTAAAACCTTTGATCCTGACAGCAGATAACATGGGTTGTTTCTGGAGCTTGACTCCATAAAGGCCTACAAGTCCAGAAGAGGCTCAAGGCACCAAAACTCAAATAAAAGCACGACTGGGTATCATTTTGAGCACCTTCTTTTTGTCTTGAGCTCCCTAGTCATGGGGCTTTGACACGTGCAGACATAAAGCTGCAGCGGCAGCACAGGAGGGCCCACAATGAAGGCCAGGCTGTGCAAAACCAAATAGCTGGCTGTAAAAATCCAGAGGTGCTAAAAGGGAGATTTAAAAGCACAATAGATTGTTTAGCAGGAACTCAAATTTTAGTCTCCACCGTTTGCTGAGAGGAGTGATTTGAGTCTGCCTGAATATCCAGTCAGTGCCCCTTAGTGCCTTGCACTCTGTGTGTGTGTATTTGGTAGGTAGTCATACCAGGGCCCCGTGCTGCTAAAACACTTCCATGCAGTGCTTATCCTGTGGCTCCAGTGCTTTGTGTGAGAGCTGCTCCTGCGTTCAGCAACGACTGAAGATGGCCTGAGGTCTCTGAACACTACTGGGTTCTTCATGTGCTCCCCGAAGCTGTGGGATGTGCTCCCCAGAGCCGATGGCTGTGTCAGGTGTGAAGAGGTATCTGGGCACACACAGCCAACCCAAGGCCTCGGGTGCTGTATTCACTGCTAAGGGCCTTCAGGGAATGAGCTGGAGGGCAGGAGAGAACCACGCTCACATGCACCCATGGGCCAGCGTTCTCATACCCAAAACTGTTTTGTGGGGGCAGATATTCCTCACATTAGTGCTTCTTCCTTGCCTAGAGGATCAGAAGGCTTTGCAGCAGGGCAAGCAAAGCTGTACAGTAGCTAATGAGGTTTTAATAACTAGGAATGATTGAACATCTTAACAGGTGGCCATTGGTCTGGGCACTTGGTCTGTTTTGGCATCACCAGAGTACCTCGTCTGACCTGCAGGAGTTGTTGAGGTTGACACTTGCAGAAGTGATCCTCCACAGATTGCATTCATGCCTCTCTGGGCCCGTGCAGCAGGTGGATTTCTGTGCTGGGGGAGCTGCAGGTATTTTATAGAGATCCAGCACTCAAGACTTAGGAGACAGGTGTAAATGCTCCCTGTGATAGCATGGTGTCTCTGTAGATGTGTGGCGATGCTTGGACGTGCTAGTAACACAGCACTTCTATCCTTTTTTTTTTCTTCCTTAGCTTCCTTCACAGTCTCCCTTCGTGCAGTGGACAACATCACAGTTACAATTAAAATGAAACCTGGTGTTTTACCTGTCTGTCTAATTCGTGTAAAAAATGGACCCAGGTTTGAATTGAAGATAAGACCAGGGGAAAATGTGACTTTAACCTTCTCTTGTAACACTCCTGAGAAATATTTCATGATGGAAATTCAGAAGAATATTGGTAAGACATGTTTCTATTTTGTTTTCCTCAGGGGTGATTTTCTTCCAGTAAAACCATGCTTTTTTTTTTTTTCCCCCCTCCCTGTTACTGTATCAAGGTATTGCCTACGTTCTTGGCTAGGAAAAGATCTTTGGATGCTGATAGACAGCCTTGAATTACTGAAACTACTCAAGTTTGAGTCTGTATTTCTGTCTGACAAAATGAATGTTAGCTCATTGGTTTTTGAAAACGAGACTTCATTGCATCAGTTGCTTTCTCGCAGTTTCTAACCTTTCAAAGGACTGCTCTGTCAAAAACCTTTGAGCATTGATAATAATGTCATGCATCTTATTCAGTGAATGTCTTGATTGTGTCTGTATGGACAAGACAAACATTATTAAGTTATGTATTATAGGAGTTACCTTGTGTTTCCTTATATTAAATGAATGGTTCTGAGGACAGGAATCTGAAAATTTGAAATTCTTGGAAGTAAACCTGTATTTGTTTTGAATATAATAGCTATTCTATGTCTGTGTGGTAGTATATTCTTTAGTGGCATGAGCATGTACTATTTATCAACTAGACCCCAAACTTCATTTGGCAGTCAGGTTTTGATTATATCTTCTTTATTCTTTAGTTGATGTTCAGGCCTTGTTATAAAGACAGTTCTTTTCACGCTTGGGGGTTTTATTCATGCAAATAGTAATATTCATAACATTTTATGATACATATTGGTAATATATGGTTGTTTTGTGTTTTCTTTTAAGCTTAGATATAAAATATGATTCATTTTCCAGCTTAAAGTACTGCTAAGTTGGATTTTTCTGATGAAAGTTCTCTAGGTTCTCTTTGAAGTATTTTGTTGACAGTTTTTAATCACTTTTGCATAATCTAGGCCCCAGGTTCTTATCAGTGCACCAAGGAAATGAAGGTACTGTTCACAGCAAGTAATGGAAAACATAATGATTTGACAGGCATTGTATCACTATTCTGAGCACAGTGGCTTAAAATCAGCTCTCTAGATTCATTATTTCCATCTCTCTTAATGTTGAATTCCTCCCTTTTGTTTATTTAGTTCTCTGTTAACTACATACCTTCTAAATTCTTCAGCAAACAATGAAGAATGAAATGCCCTCTGTTAGTCAAGCTGGCTCATTTGTAAAAGCAAGTTTATCCTGTCTACTCAAAGGGACAGGAGTCCTGTTTGAAGACAGGACTTATAGGAGTGGTATGTCTTTGAATCTGTGTAGAATAAAAGTTAAGTGCAACTTAAAAAAAAAAATATATATATATATATATAAATACTGAAGAAGCTTAAAGAAACAATGAAACGGAAAGTAACATACCTCGTTTACTTGCTGATTTTCTACAGTGTAACATGGCTGTTCTCTTCCTGCATTTCAGACTGTGTATCAGGCCCGTGTCCCTTTGGAGATGTTCATCTTTACCCACCAGGGCTACCTCGCCTTAACAGGACTTTCATCTGGGACGTGAAAGCGAGTACAAAAGCTGGACTTGAGCTGAAATTTTCTGCCCCATTAAGACAGATTCAACCAGGAGAGGTGTGTCCAGATTTAGTTAGCTACAGCATCAACAGCTGCATTGATGCAGCCACGGTCAACATTGGCACCTTCTGCAGAAATGGCTCGGTGTCTCGTGTCAAACTGCTTGGAGGAGTCATCTTGTCTCTGCACCTCCCTTGGAACTTGACTCTCACAACCTCAGGCTTTAACATTGCCAACAGATCTTCCATAAAACGTAAGCGTGGAGGAGTTTATTGTCCCGTTTCCTTCCCCATGCAGTCCTCTTTTAGAAAAGGTGGTGGTGGTTAGTTTGTGTTCAGTAGCTATTCCTCTTCTAGGATCAAAGTGTCTCAGTAGTTGGCTGTTCAGCGCAGTGGTTATGCAAACTGTTGTGTTGCTGCTTTTGGTGCAATCTCTTTAAACTTCCTAAAACTTAAACGTAACAGCTTTCTTGCTTTATGTGAGACTAGATAGCATAACTAGAGTGATTCAGGAGACTTATTTGCTAGTTGCACTGTGTAATTATGTTTCTTTATTTTTAAATAAAGCCTCCTTGACTTGCTTGTGTCTCTAATGTCTCTCTTCAGGAGAGGAAGGTGGGAAAAGGGGAGCCAATGCCTGGAGGGCACATGAGTGCCTAAATGCAGATATCTGTTTCAACCTGTGCAGTAACATAACAGGTTGTGTAATAATCTTTTAAAAATACCTGAAATGTGCGTAGTAGTTAATGGATTACTCTGTGATCCGATGACAAACCTTCATTCAGGGTTTTTCTTGAGCTTTAATTGACTTGTGTGATTGCCATCAGTTGTAGGCCAGATCTAGGTTTGTGTTTGTAGAACGCAATAACAAAAAATAAGATTTGTCACTGCTGCTCTGGTGTGGCACTGTTGAGACATTCAGAAAGGTAAGGGGTGGCACTCCTTGCAGTTGCTCATAGTTACTGGCTAGAGCAAGGTTGTAATCTTTGCATACATAGCTTTGCTCTGCCAAGTGCTGGGATTCATCCAAGTCCAAGTTATGTCACACCATCTCTGTGGTTCTCACTCATGTTTTGTCATGCATATTTGAGGCTCTGTGCTGGAGCGCTCTTTTTAGAACTCCAAAGCTTTTGGACTGAGAGCTCTCTGCTAATCTAAAAGCTGTTGTATTTGTTTCATGAAATGTGGTGAAGCAGTACTAGCGGAAGCAGTAGTCAAGCTTCATGATTGCTCTCGTTAAGCCAGGACTGGAAGTGACGACTAGGATCTTTCCTTTTCAAAAAATATAGGCCCATCCATGTGTTTGATAGGTAAACCCACTACACTGAAAATGCAGCGTGAGCAAATCCCTTTCCTCTTCTGTAATTGAAGGTAATACCATTAACTCCAGTATGTGTTTTAGTCTGGCATTTTTTGTAATAACCTAACCTGTAACTGCAGTGGATGAGCTCGCTGTCAAATAAAAGTATTCAGCTGCTGCAGTGCTACATATGCTGGTGTGTTGTCTCCAATTGCTAATAGTTTTCATGATTCTTTTCTTCCATCTTAGGGTTATGCATTATTGAATCCACTCTGGAGGGGGAGTCTTCCATCATGCTGATGTCCCCAAACTATCCCCTGGGCTTTCCAGAAGATGAGCTCATGACATGGCAGTTTGTAGTCCCTTCCAACATGAGAGCGAGTGTGTTTTTCCACGATTACAGCCTTTCCAATTGCGAAAGGAAGGAGGAGAGGGTGGAGTATTACATACCTGGCTCTGTCAGTAATCCTGAGGTGTTTAAGCTGAGTGACAGCCAGCCTGCCAATATTGCTGGCAGCTTCAACCTGTCTCTGCAGGGCTGTGATCAGGATGCTCAGAACCCAGGCATCCTTCGCTTGCTCTTCCAAGTCGTCGTTCAGCACCCTCAGATTGATGAGAGTGAGTACTGGTTTGTTCCTTCAGCCTCTCTCTGCATTCATTACTTTTTCCTTCTGCAGACACAAACTGGCTCTGTAGCTTTTGTTCATAGACATTTAGTCTGAGAGTGCTTTCGTCATTCCTTTTTTTGAACTTTGAGCCCTCCTTTAGTTAAGGAGGTGGCTTGCTGAGCAGAACTGAGGCCTGCATTACTTTATTTGCCACTGGCTACTGTAACAGGAAGATGAATGGCAATACTGAGCTTTGCAATTTGCAGCAGGGTCAAAATGTCCACTGTAGGTTTTATACTGTATCTTGTAAATGAAGATTCCTTTCCTTTTCCAGCATGTACACCATGTAACTGAGAAATGCCTTTAAGATCCGTGATATCAGACCTTGCACTCTTAATAAACAAAATTAAACATAGGGCAGCGTTTCCTTGAGGCTGTGTTCTCTCCATAGGGATCCGATCCAATTATCTTGCAAGAACCTTCTTGATTAAATTGTCCAGGCCTGTGTGTCACCTCACAGTCTCCCTGTCAAAGGTTCTGCAGCATCCCAACACTCTCATCCTCCGTCCTTTATCTGTCTAGTCTGTCTCTGTTCACAAACAGCAAATCCTCCTCTGTGTACATTTATTGTGTTACATCTCGGAAGCCAGACAGAGAGAAAACATTGCATTCAGTTAATCACCTTTATCTCTGCTCTACTCTGGAAAGCAAAGAATCATTTTAATATATTTATAGCCAAGATAATAACCATCTAAAAAATAAATTTTAAAAAAAGGTTGTTGTTTATTTAATGAAGTGCAAGCAATAAACTTCTTGGATTTGAGAAAGAGCAGTGGCTTCTCTAGGGATTTCATGAGTTATTTTAGTTATGTAAGTTCCATCAAAGATTCAAATTCAGCCCTCAGGACCATATTGAAACTTATCTTGTGTGTCGTGTGCAAGTTAAGCATGGTTCTTATTAAAAATGCATCAGTATCTACACATTCTCAAAGCTTCCCAAACATTTTGGTATTCCACAGCTGTCTGTGATGCTTGTCGTTAGGGGGAAAATTCAGCTATTTTCCAATCAAAATAACTTTTCAGTCTCATCTTGAGTTTAGCTGCTGAAAACACCTGAAGAATGAATAACCCTGTGGTGAAAATCCCAGGTTGTTTGCTTGATTGTGGCAATGACCTGAACATTTCTAACTTGCTGAGGGGTGTGTTCTATCTTCTCATCTGTCAATAATGAAGTTCTGGTCTCAGTACTTACCCAGTAGGGTAGACCACTAATGAGTGTCCTCCAGACAGACTTTATGCTGCTGATCACAAACCTTTCAAGCTCAGCAGTTGAGCAGTTTGTAGTCCACATCACTGTCCACTTAGCTAGTCTATATCAGTGTGTTTGGGAATATATATTATGGGAGATGTTCAACTCAACTTTTGCAAGGCTTTTGAGACCAATAGCCACTGCTCTTGCCTCATCCACCAAGCCAGCCCTGTTGATCTAGGGGGGGTGTCGCATTGCCTAAGTGTGGCTTCCTTTTCCTAAATGCATGCTGACTAGACCTGATCACTTTCTTATCTTCTGTGTGTCTGGAAGTTGTTTCTGTACTATTGCCTTCTCAAGATTTGTGATGAAAATATCAAGGCACTTTCTGAGAAATCTAACAAATCTAACATAGCTACTATGGAGCTCCACTATTTGTATTATAGCCTCACCTGTTCAAAAGGGACTAGCATACATCACCCCATTACGACTGAAAAGTAGTCAGGGAATAATGTAAAGGCTTAAACTTAACTGGAAGAGTAATATGATACTATCTGAGTTTTCATTCCACGGATAGAAAGAAGTAAATAATGTTTTCTTAGTTAATATAGAAATAGCTTTAGCAGCTCCTTGTCTAATGGTGTGAGAAGAGATGGAGGCAATTCTCCTTCACACCAGCAGTTGCTCTGAGGTGTTTGTCGTTGCAGATGTCACTCACGTGGTTGACCTCAGCAAAGAACGGAATATGACTGTAACAATACACTTTGAAGGGTGGCCCAGGCGAACCCCGCTCGTATCAGAACCCATGTGCCTGATCTGCAAGGATCCTCGCACTTGTGACCGAGTTCTGACCTTGGCCTCTGGCGCCACCTACAAGATTTCCTTTCTGTGCAAGGACTTATCCAGCCTGAGGATCACGGCCGAGAAGGGCATAAGTATGACAAAAGTGGCTTAATCTTGTTTCCTAGAGAATGTTGCTGTGCGCTTTTCCCCGCTGCTCAGCTAAACGTCTCTCGCTTTCTGAGAGACAACGGTGTGTGTTGAAAATCAGGCGTTGGCCGGATGGAGATGGGCACAGTGAATGTGGAGATGACCTTGTTACTCACTGCAGCGTCCTGCTTTTAAAAATAGGAGCTGCATTGCTATTAGTAGAAGGGAAATGACAAAGATGTGGAAGAACGTTCTTACTGAAAGCTGCGAAATATGGAAACAGAGCAGGAGAAGCCATAAATCAGTCCAGAATGTGTGGGAGCAAGGCAACCATCAGGAATGCATCTTGTGCTGTTTGTATATTCTGGAAAGTCCTGTACCAAATGGATGCTTTTTACTGCTAGTAGAAAAAGTTTTAAGGTATAGGTCTGTACCTTAGCTGGTTTGCAACTGTGTCCCAATAAGCAAGCAGTATAGCAGACCTGATTTCCCATTTTGCATATGTTTGTATCTGTACATTTCTTTGGTGCTCCCTTTAAAGGAATTCTCTTAAACTACAAGCCATACATATATTTGGTAAAGTTTAATAAGAGAAGATGTCTATTTGGGTAAATTCTTATCTGGATCTGTAACACAGATGTAATAGGACTCTGTGGTTACTCTGCTATATCAGAATCTCTGGTATATCATTGGTATATACACTATACATTGGTATACATACTCTGGTATATTATTGCTTTTCCTAAGTACTTCCTCTGCTAGAAAAAAATGCAACTGTTTTGACTTGTCTTTGTGATTACAGGCTGTGTGGGGAGTCTTCGGTGGTGTGGGAGCAGGATCTATTCCCTTTCAGTGCCCAAGACTATCACCCAATTGCCAGTCCAACTGCATAAATTTATTTGGAGGGTCATAGCTCCCGAACTGATCAATATAGAAATCACATCTCCGTCCTTGAAACTGCGGCAACACCTCCCAGAGCAGAGCTGCAACACAAGCTACAGCTATAACATTTTTAGTGCCACCCCGGAGACAGAGATGAATGTTGGTATATTCTGCCCTGGTGGAGCCATTGAAAAGATTCAGTTGAGGAATAATATCACCATATCTTTAAAAACATTTGGTAAAGGTTTCGTCAATGAGTCTAATCATCAAGATCTGAAAATGTCTTTCGTGCCACATATTAAAGGTAAGGTAACGTTTTGTGCATCTTTACCCCATTGCTGGATCTTTCAGTACATTTATTAGAACACATATGAACAAATAGAAATAAGAATTCAATTCTTTAGAGTCTAGGCTTGGAGTCATTACTTGAACTGATCTTTATCTGAATGAGTGAGGTGGCTTATTTCTGCAGGAAGGAAAGATTTGTGCTGTAGGTGGTTGAGGGGAAATTCTGCAGATATGTCTGTATGATTACTGTATGATTACAGATACAGAGGAGATGATAGGTGAATTGTATTGCTGGTAATGACATAGAATATGGAAATATACTTTATAAGTGATGGTTTTTTGTTACAGAGAAGAAAGTCTATATAGTTTTACATGTTGGAAGATAAAGCTTTAAAAACATGTAATGAAACTAACCAAGTTTTCACGCCTGTATACATTTGCTTTCTTACAGACGAGTGTACTTTTACCGTGAGTCCAAATTCAAAAGCTAAAACCTACTTACAGACTCCCAACTCACTTTATGGTCTGCCCCCTTACGTCTCCATCTCCTGGTACGTCATTGTGCCCAGTCAGCAAGTTGCCCGCCTGGGGTTCTCCACGGACCGCATGGGCATTGCTTGTGAGACAGGGCGTGCCTACCTCAACATAAAGGAACAGATGCCTGGGGCAGAGGAAACTGTGCGCCGTGAGGATGAGCTGCTGCCTCAGCCCCGAAATATGCATCATAACTTCTGGGTAAACGTCTCCAATTGTAAGCCTGTGGACCCGATGCAGCTGACCTTGAAGTTCTGGGTGACTTTTGTTGAAAAGCAGATAGGTGAGTCCTGTAATTTATCGTGGCTTGCTTTCCACTTTTTTTCATTTCCTTTCCACTGGGGAAACAGTACTGTATGCGTGCCTTGGGGTTTATAAGATTCCTGCTTCCTGAAATGCCTGTCCCTATAAGCCTCTGAGAGTTACAGGTGAGCACTTCTAGAGGCTGAGCAGAAAGGAGAGTTCCTTATGTGGTGGGGGTTTGGCTTTTGTGGCTTGAGGATTGCAAGGCTGGAGGGCAATGTGTTCTATTTATTTTATCTTTTTAAATTGGAGATCACAACTGGAAGGTATAAGAAGATCAAGTGATGTTTTTTCCCCAAGGTCAAAGACCTAGTGAGCAATTTGAGATTTGATTATGCAAATCTACTAATCTGAGTAGTCTTTTCACATGAGTAACAAATAATCCTTGGAGGAGATCTCACTGTTCTGTTGAGACTGCCTTGACTAATAACAGCAAAATCTGCTTTTTGTTATCTTTCATCTCTCTGAAACACAAGGCACTAAAAAACCATTTTTAGGGTAGGTTTTTCTCAGATACACGTAAATTTGTTTCGTGTTTGCATTTCTGCATAATCTGTGGGAGACTGCTGCTGCCTGTAGAAGTGTTGTTACATGGACATTTGATACAGTTTCTAGTCTAGAAATGTTAGAAATGTTCGTTCTTTTTTTCTTCTTCTCTTCCTCTTTCCTTTTATTTTCTATAATGAATACTTCTGTAATATACCATTTTTTCATTTTTGCTCACATATGGATTTTCCTGATCAATTTAATGACTCTCTGAAAACTCCAAGTCAGCATAACTCTTGTAGTTTAGGGGAAAGGATTGCACTGAGGGGGATTTGGTGAAAAAATAACTATTTTGTTTGTTGATTACTGACCTGTCTCTTTCCATGCTTTCTTCTCTATACTACATGTTCAGCCAGAGGCTTGTGAGACATTGCAAGTAAGTTCAGCAGCACGTGAGCTGTCTTGAATCCTTGCACCAAGAGCTAAGTCTGAGTGTTGGTTGGGGAGTGTTGGTTGTTTTAAAGTCTGTGATCCACTGCTAGCAGCTGGAGCTTGTCCTTGCTTGACTGCCAACCTCTTGGAATTGTCTTATATTACCCCAAGGCATGCACAGCTTGGAGACTCCTTCTTTGCATGCAACAGATGCACTTAAAAGCTGCTGAGGAGGTTTTAGGAAAATGCTCAGTGTTCTTGTAACTTGTCTGCTTTCAGATCTAGCAGTGATACTTGGTGTACTGGCTGCGGCTGGAGTTCTTGCGGCTATTGGACTCACTGTGTGCTGTGTTAAGAAGAAGTAAGTTCCTAATTTAGCATGTGTGTAGGTTAGCAGTTCAAGAAAACAATATGGAAGAGGTGGCAGGCCTTGTATTCCATTTGTTGATGTAGTTCCCTTAAACAAAGGCGTGGAGCATAGTGCAGGCAATGCACTGGGCATTGGAGTGATGTTGCTCCAAGAATGTTGCTTTATTCTGAATTGATTTTCTTAAAAGTAGAACAGCATTCCTGGGGCCACATTACTTCAGCTCCCAGTGCATTGCCTAGCCTTGCTTTTGGCACAACCTTCTGTCTGTACTAGAAGTAAAGATATTGCTTGGATTTATCAGTGCTTCGCGTGAAATGATACTGTGATGAATGTGGGCTGCATGTGACTCTAGACAAGTCTTTCCTAAGACAAACTGTGAAGTCATTTAGGGTATTTAAAGACTTGTCTTTCATCTACAGACCCTCTAGCAATTTCTTCCACAGTTTATAAACCAAGTAAGAACACTTTTCTGTGAGATGAGCCCTTTGGGAGAGAACTCATTTTGTGCAAAGCCAACACACCCAAATCATGCGATGGGAGTCTGAAGCTATCAGTATCTTAGGGGGTTCTGATGTGTGTACTCAGGGTGGTTTGGTCCTGAAGCTGTAAAACTGGAATGATTTGTGTAATATAATGATTAGAGCAGTTATGAGTGCAATTCTCTGTTGCACAGGAAAAGTTTTAAGAATATAGGCTTAAAAACCCTTTACTTCAGCCTTTGGTCTTTCTGCCTGGAGGACAGTTGCACCAAAACCAGGGAAAGTTCATTTGATTTTTAGAGTGGATCTGCTATTTCACTCAGCCTTGTTGGCTCTTAGGTCCTCTTAATGCCTGTGGAAGTTTAGAGGGTCAGTGCACTGCATAACTGAAGTGGAACTCTGTACTTGGATAGCTGATGGTGTTAATCTTGCAAACTTACTCAGCTTGCAACTGAATAAATAGCTTAAAAAAAAAAAAAAAAAAAAAAAAACCAAAACCAACTTGTCTTAATAAATTATTTTTCTTAAGATTACAAGTACAGTCTTTGATCCAGGTAGATTAGACTGTCTGACACAGGGTAGGTGGAATTTGTAAACAGCAGCTGCCATTATTGAGCTCAGATGCACTGAGCTATGCGCTGTTCTGACCTGTGAATCATTTCAACTCTGAAACAGGAAGAAGAAAAACCAGAATCCCATGGTGGGTGTATACAATGCAAATGTCAGTACCCAGATGCCTGGAAAGCAACGCTTGTTCCAAAAAGATAGGAAAACCAACGAGTCCCACGTCTACGCAGTTATCGATGATGCTATGGTCTATGGGCACTTGCTGAAGGAATCCAATGGCTCAGTCACTCCAGAAGTTGATGTGTACCAGCCTTTTGATGGGCCCATGGGTAGCTTGCCACCTTCTCCACCTCCATTCTCCTTTAGAAAAGACTCTATAAAACACTCTCCTAACACAGAGGAACCTCCACTTCTGGCAGAAACAGACCGTGACACTTACACGTTTGCTCATCAGAAATCAGGGGACCTGGAGGACAGTGGAGACGAAAATGAAAACAATAATGGCGATACAAGCATGTCCTTGCTGGAGAATAAGGAACAGAACAGCTTAGAAGAGTAATTTTATGCCAGGCACGGTAGTTTCCTGTGGAAATCCAGACAGCCTGCAAGGACAAATGTCCAGGGAAAAGATAGCAGAAGAGGAGTGTTATTTTTAAGTATGTTTTGATATTATTTTTGCTTTGTTGTTTGTGTTGTTGTTGTTGTTCGTGTTGTTTTAATTCAGCTGTTGGTAGCTTCCAGTTTTAGAGTGAATATCTGGTAAATTCAAGCATTGGAGCACTCTGAAAGCATGTGAGTTGTGAGATCGATGTGGGATGGATGGCAGAGGTATGCTCTTGCTTTCTATTATCCAGACATCATGAAAAGGAATTCATAACAATAGCAATTTAAAACTGTGCTAAGAAATCAAGTGGAAAGTGTGTTTTGTGCAGTATTCCCTCCTTTCTCACAAGTCATTTAACCTGAGTGTTGGCTGGTGACTTTTTGAAGGCATAGGCCACCTCAAGGACTCAAGGCAGCTCCAGATTGCACAGGTATGGATTCCTTCTCCTAATGTCTAAGCAAAGTAGGAGAGGCTGTCATGTCTACTACTTGCTGCTTGAAAATTCATTTGTATTTGATGTAGTGATTGAGTGTAAATTACTGAAACACCACATGTATGCAGCCTGGAAGAGCTCCGTGCAAGTTAATCAGTGTGTATACTTGAGCTTGGGCTTGCCTCGCTCAGAAGTACAGTTCTGTTTTTCTCTGATTTCCAACTGATACTCTAGTACTTCAGCAGCGCTGTGTAAGCCTATACCAAAGACTGCATTTTCTTTTGCTTTTTTTTACAAAAACAATTTCAAAATTCCAAAACAGTGTGCAGTTGTTTTCAGGTGCCCTGCAGCATTCACCTTTTGTTGGTTTCTTGACCTTTTTGTCCTAGAGGTACAGGTTTGGTGAGGACGTGACAGTGTAGCCATCCAGCTGTTTACTAACGCATTTCACTTCAACTCGTAGATGCTTGTTTATCTAATAAGGTTAAAAAGGGGGATAAAGAAAATAGATTATATTCCACAGCCTGTTTCTCTGAAGTGTAAAGCATATGAGCGAATCCTTAAGAGAGGCCATCAGTCTAAATATAGCAATCACACTGAAACAATGTTGGACACAGCTCTTGATTTCTCCTGGTACTTCGCTTCAGTCCTCTGGCTCCTCTGAAATACACCTCTTGCAATAATGATTTTCATTTTGGAGTGCTGTATTTAGCTTCCCCCTCAGTTCCTGTGCCTTCGAAAACTTGAGGGTCATGTCCTCACTCGCAGCACTACAGGTATTGGAATGGAGTTGCTTTTTGTACACAAACATCTGGCTTGTCCAGGTGTGCAGTTACTGAGGATGTTTGCAATTTTGCATGCAAAGCTGTATTCAACTTGAGAATTACTCTCAATTGTTCTGACGCCTGCTTGTCTAATGATGCTCAAAGATGCCACGTGATTTATAGGAGGTGTTGCATGCATGACATTATGTTTATATTAATGTCTAAAATGAAAACATCTTTACTAGGAACATTACAAAAGAAATGTGGATTTCTTCTTCCGTTAACTATGCTGGCATTGCAAATGACTGTGTTAAACAATCAAGTGTGCCTGCTTAACAGTGTATACCAATATGCCATTAATTATATCTGATCTGACTCAATTTTCTGTGGCATATAGGGAAACGTATGCCAGCTGGAAGTGCCTTTTTATCGCTTCGTGTACTTTTTATGCTTATGTTTTGCACTTTTAATACAGAAATATGTACTCCTAGATCTGTGCCTGGTCACTGGGGTCACATATTTCTAAGTGTACTGGGAGTGTTTGGATGCCATTTGACAACTTCAAAAGATTTCTCCAGTAACATTAGCTACTTTTTCTCAGGTAACTGAATGGCCACTGGATGTTTTATCAGGGTAGCCCATCTGTTCATTCAGGTGGTCAGTGCTTCTTCCCTTCTTCCCTTCTTCCCTCTTCCTTTCTTCCTTTCTTCCTTTCTTTCTGTCTTCTTTTGAAAAGAAATGTGTTTCTGAGAGCAACTCAAAGCTGTCTCATCCCTCCAGCTCAGTTTCTGCAGCTGCTTAGGTGAAATCTTCTAGTTCATGTTCTTTCTAAACAACTGATGGAAAGGGAACAGAGGTCAGGCTTTTGTTTACAACATCTTGAAATTTGAAGGAGGAATATGATGCTTGTTCACTGTTGTGCTTTTTTCCTTTTGTTCTATTTTAACTCAGCTTTTGGTACGGCGATATAAACGTCAGTTTACAGTTGTTTTCACTCTAAGGTTGACTTCTACTGTGCTTACTTCATGTTTTGAATAAGAGTACAGGCGCAAATTCAAGTTTACTTTTCCCTCAGATAAAGTTGTGACTTAATTTTTTTTTAATAAATAAAACATAACTATATTACCAGCTGAAGCAGTCAGTGTACAGCTTTCTCATGTGTGTAAATACCTAGTTTGCTATGAAATGAGTGCTTCTTTTTTATTATTTATTTTGGTGGGAACTACAACAGACACAAAGAGCACAATAATACTATTTGATAGGGAAAATTCTCAGCTACAAAGCACTGTTTTTCAACATAGTCACTGCCGTTAGCTGTGCTTTTTCACCAGCAAGAAAAAAAAACCCTGCATGGTTTGTCTCTTAGGTCACTCACCACTGTGAAATGCACCACCCACTGTGCTCACATCCACTGTTTGGTCTCCATAAACATTCAGCAAGTGATGATGATTATCAATGGGTGCCATTCCTGCATGCAGGAATGGAATGGCATACCTTTGCTTCACACACACTTCCATGTCAGGTACCATTCTGGCAGACTGCCCCTCTGCTGCCATCTGCTGCGTGGCTACAAAATGTAATGGAAATACTGCAGAGAGGGCTCATCCCCTACCCCCATCCATCTGCCTCTGACGTTGTGGGACAACATAACACTGGGAACTTCTGAAGATTTGAACATCACTCTGAAAGGCTAAGAGTCATCCTTCAGAGGTCTCTGCAGCCCCACCAACTCGATTTGGCTTTCTGCATGGGAACAGCCTCCACTGGAGTGATTGGGAGAAGATCCAGAAGCAGAAGATCTTCTTGATGCTTCTCTGATCCACAAGCACCCCTCGGCAATGCTGTGGAGCTGAGAAGCCTCCCGCAGGATTTCAGGAGCAAGTATTCTTGCAGGGAAGAGAGGGAGAGATAATCTTGCTAGTACGTAGATGTTCAATACTGTGGATTTCACACTGGGAAAACCTGCATGGACTCTGGTGAGTGTTGCAGCTGTGTGGAGTACAAGGTCAGCCTGAAGTATGTTGATATGTCAGTAGCTTCGTCTCCTTAGTTAATAGCAGTGAGTTTGTAGAGAAGCTGCTTTGCTGTTGGTAGCTTAGCCAGTGATGTGCTCTTATGTGCACGTTTGGGTCACTGGTGAGAAGTGCAAGCCACAACAGTAAGTGGTTCAATGGTTTCTTGTTGGGGTTGTGGTGTTTATAACAGGAAACTTTCCCTGCTACCATGATGTCAATATAAATGAAGATAATGTATCACCTCACTTCTGAAGTATTATTATTTGGTGCTCAGACACAGCTTGCTCCATCACATGAGAGCACACATGGTCAAGTGAGAGCTGAAATGGGAGATGTCCCAGGAGATCCTGACGGCTCTCTCATTCTTCCCCAAAGAGGAAAAGAGCCACAAAGCTGCCGTTGATGCAGCCACATCCCAGGCCCCATAGTCAGGACTTTCCATGTACCTCTCAGGTCGTCGAGGCTCCCTGATCCTCGTGGGAACCAAAGATTTGCTTTTGGATGCACACACTGCTCACTGCAGTTTTTCCTCCACAGATGTGTGCTCTCTATTCAGAGTGAATTTATCACTTGATAGAAGTTGTGGTTTTACTTCTGACTGTGGATGCTACTTACACTTGCAGTTCCAGCAGGTTTGAAAGCGGACTATTCTCCCTATAGGCCAACAAAACAATTCAGGTAAATATTTAAGAGAAGGAAGAAATCTGAATGACTATTTTTGCTTGTTTTCATGCTTTTCACATTTGGTACGCAGGAGTTTTTTTCCTCAGTTACGTGCTTTCAGGTTTGACTCCCTTTCTTGGAGGACGTGCTACAATGATGCTGTGCTTTCCTTTCCAGTGGGTATGTTTTCATTTATCATTAAGAAGCACTGCCTGTTGCTCTGCCTCCTTCTTGAAAGCACACAGTTTCTAGGCTGTGTAGAAAATTGTCAGTCAACAGCTGTAGGTACATGGCACCCCACCCACACAGCTCCTCCCAAGTCCTCATTTTTCAATGGAGACAATTGTTTCACCATGTTTTTAACGGATGCTATTTCTGGACCATTTCCTAAAAGTTGCCTGTTTTAAGGCATATTTGAGCATTTGGCTTTCTGTTCTGACATATTACAGAGTGAATACAGGAGCCAGTTTCCCTGTGTGTGTTCTGCACCAGCTGGTGCACAGGCAAGTGGAGAAGTTGGAGAACAGGAGACACAGGGGAGACCTTATTGCTCTTTTCAACTGCCTGAAAAGGAGGTTGCGGTGAGGTAGGGCTCAGACTCTTCTTCCATGTAAAAGTGGTAAGACAAGATGGGATGGCCTCCAGCTGCCCCAGGGGAGGCTCAGGTTTGATTTTAGGAAGAATTTCTTCTCAGAAAGAGCAGTGAGGCAGTGGCACAGGCTGCCCAGGGAGGTGGTGCAGGCACCGTCCCTGGAGGTGTTGAAGGACCGTGTGGATGTGGCACTGAGGGACGTGGGCAGTGGGCATGGTGGGGTGGGTTGGCAGCTGGACAAGGTGATCTCAGTGGTCTTTTCCAACCTGAATGGTTCTCTTGCAGCCTGGGGCTCAGACTCCTGTCTTGAGGGGTTTTGGAACTCAAGGGGTTCGAAAGCAGACCCAAATCTTCCCCACAATGGAGGCGACATCCAGGCTGCACATGGATGGAGATGAAATTTAGTCTGCTGCTGGACAATCCTGCTCTAAACGCAAAACAATGTGACACTGCTGTTAGGCTGATTCACTACATCCACCCACTTGTTGTGTTTGGGGACTGATCATCTAACATACGATGTATCTTGTTTTCTCCAGGGGGATTTGGTGGAGTTTTTTCTCAGTTTTGATTTGGCTGAATCGCCGCATGAAGCTTCAGCTTTCATCTTCTGGTCACACTTGGCGAAGCAGCAGCAGAACTCCTTGCTCAGTCAGTATATGTGTCAGAGCTGGAAGGCTGAGATGGACGTTCTCTTTTATAAGACACAGTGCTTCTAAAGTAGTGCTTTTGTAAGCACTGCTCCTTCAGACCTGCTTGTCATTGCCAGCCTGTAGGGCTGCCAAGCAGTGGGTTCACAACCTGATGAGTGACAAAGGTCTTACCACACGCTGCTATTTTAATGGGGTTTATCTGGCCTTGCTGTAAGGTTTGGAGACATAAGAGCAGCCTCGATGCCCCAGTCCTGTGACAGAAGGAGGTGGAGCCAGGACAGAGGAAAGATGTGGATTCTGGCCTTCGGAACAAAAAGAAGAACCGTGGATAAGGAATCTGGCAGAGAGTCTGCCATCAAGAAACTGCTGATGCAAAATCTCAGCTCCTCCCTGTGTTAAGAACAGCACATCTTTAGCTTTTAAAAGAAAATCCATAGTTCATAATGTAAAGAGCAGCACGTAGAGAACTTTAAAACTCTTTAGTGTACCCCTAAGTGTACAAGGTGAGGCACGGCGTCCCAGATCCAGCAAGATGGCAGGAGTCATGTCACCTTTCCCCATGCTCATCTCAACTCCAGAAGAGCCAACTATCTGGGAAGGACAGTGCCTGGTGGCAGCAGAATGCTGGGAAAACAGGCAGCAAGAGAGAGATAGGAGAGCAACTAGTTTTTGACAGATTGACTCCTTAATGTTCCCATGGGGAATATCCCATGGGGAATATAAAATGCATTGTTCTCTAGGGCTGTTTTTAAGGTTCACACTCCGTGCACCTGCATCTTCCCCAAAGCCCAGCACTGCCAAGACCTGTGGCTTTCACACTGTCCCTCTTGTTCCTGAGCTATTATGAAAGACTTCTCTTTATTTCTCTGACTGCACATTTGCATTTTAAGACCTTGCAGTTTACGAGCAATCAAGATCAAAGCCAGCAAGGCTTTGGGCTTTGCTACTTTGCCTTCATACAGATGACATCTCAGAAATTTTCTATGACATCTCAGAAATGGAGAGATCGTCTGCCTAGGGAGCCAGAGAGTACGCATGGAGATGAGCTGGCTCATAAGATGCTGCCTTGGCCTGCTGGCAAGCTCTGCCTTCCACAGCTCTGCGTGGTCTTTGGGGGACGCTGAGGGGAAGGAGGAGGAGGGAGAAACTCTCATCACCTCAGTGAGGGAAGGAGGGGGATGCTTAGTGCTGCCACAGCTCTGCTGGCTACGAAGGAAGAGGTAGGTAAGTGTGGAAGGGCCACCTCCTCAGCATTGCCACTGCTGCTGGGCATGGGCAAGGGAAGGACCTTTCTTCTGGGCTGGCTCCTGAAAATTCCCAGCAGCAAGAGGAGGGAGGAAATGTTATTTTCCTGTAAAAGGATTCCATGCCTCTGACTGGAATGGTAAGAGGAGGGACAATCCTACAAATGAGGTCACAGAACAGGGGACCCTTGCTTCCTGCTTCTGCCCTCTGCCTCTGATGTCTCCTACCCTCAGACAGATCCCTGGTGCTGTTTTGAAGAGAAGGGCGAAGGAGAAGGAAGCAGTCCGACCACACTGACTCAACTCCATTCCTTCAGCAAGCTATATATATTTTTATTTCGTATTCATCTGAACAGCAGAAAGTTTGGCAATAATGACAGCCTGGGAAGTACGCACTGTGTGTGTGTGTGTGTGTGTGTGTTTTGACCCTCCAGCTTGGCTCTCCCACATGAAATTCCGGAAGCCCCACCACCATGCTGGTTTTAGGCAAAGCAGCAAATAGAAACACTTCTCCTAAGGGCTCCCCATGAACACATGATTCCCAGTGGGCTGCCCTCTGCCCAGCCATACTAGGGATGTGTAACCCAAAGAACTGGGCTGGCACCAAGCACTGGGCATCAAAGAGCCACTGGTGTGCTTTGGCCAGCAGTCAGCAAATCAGTGTCAGCAAGACTGTGATTGCCTTCCCATCATTCCAATTTATATTTCAATTTTTTCAACCCTTTTCTCAGCAGAAAGTTACCAAGGCCAGGTCTTCAGCTTTACCAGCGCACGTGGTACTCAGCACATTTGTGTTTGCTGAGGACTGGGCCTTGACCAACAAGGACTGGAGTAATTCATCACTAATGCAGGCCCTAAAACTCCTGAAGTGGCTAAAGTCAGACTTGTTGGGATTTACTTTTGGTAGCTAGCTGCCTTCTATAGAGTAGCATATTACCAGATAGTGTTGAAGATTTTTTGTTTACCTAAAACCTTCACCTGCTCCCAAGAATATATTTGACTGAGTATACTGCAAGTGATCACTGCTTCCTGCATGGTACAGGAGGATAAATAAAGCTTATGGCAGGAATTTTGAAAGATCTGTCGCTGGGGCTAGCTCCCTCACTGAGATAAATGAAGCACTTTCTTCTGACTGATGAGAAAAGGATCAAAAAAAGGGGAATGCTTGTGGGAAAGACACTTTTCCTCTCAGCATGCCAGCCCCTTGAGCAGCGTGACACTGGGCCAACAGCTCCAACAGTGCTTGGGTACAAGGCCAACAGCTCTAAGCACAAAGCAGAAATAACACACTCTGCTCTGAGACAGGATCCCGATCCCTGTGCCAGGGCCTGCAGGGGAGCAAAGCCAGAGGAGAAGGCACAGGCTGGCATTGCCGTGTCCCAGCAAGGTTCAGCAAAGTGGCAATGGAGGCTGCGGAGAGGCAGCCCGGGCAGCCCACGTGGCCATTGATGAGGCAGGGCTGTCACACCGGGTCTTCATCGAAACCACCTCATCAGTTCCCCGTGTACAAAAATATATCTATACATCATGCCATAGGGAGAGGGATGCAAATGGGGCTGGATGCAGCCAAGTGAAAGGCAGCGCAGCTCCGACCTGATACCAGGCCATGGCGGCTGCCCCGGTCGCGGCGCTACGTGGAGGTGCGTGCGGGTGTGTGGCGTGCACGGAGCCATCCTGCAGCTCGACAGAGCCCCGCTACACGATCATGAACTGGCAGACGTAGGGCAGCTGCTCCTTGCACCGCTTGTCAAACCACTTGCCCACCGCCACCCCTGACAAGGCCGCGCAGTTTTCCAGCTTGCCGCCGTCGGGCTGGGTGGTGATCTCGGTCTCCCAGTTCTTGTAGCGGATGGGGCCACCCGTCATGTCAACCCACTTGCCCTCAGCTGCCATGTCGTTGAGGCCCAGCCAGATCTCTGCCTCGTTCCCGATGCTCTTTCGCATGTAGTCGTAGAGCGCGTCGTTCTCCTCTCCACCCTGCGGCGTGCCCAGCGTGCCGCCCTGCGAGATGCAGTGCTCGCTGGCTTCGTGGTATGTCTTGCTCTCAGAGAACGCCAGGAAGCACTTCAGGTGAATTTTGGTGCCTTTCAGGCAGACTGAGAAGTCGCCACGTGAACGGAACAGAGAGACAACAAGAGAACTGGGTTTAAAATGGACATCCAGCAAGCACAGCATGTGCATCCCTCAGGGCCCCTCGTTGTCACGGGAAGAACATGGCCTCCCTGTTTGGAAACAGCCTCCCAGAAAGATCCCAGGGTGATCCCATCCTTGTTGTGCTCAAGTTGAGGCTACGCTCTCTGGATTGAGTTCCTTGGGGTACAACGTATCTCTGCTGGGGGCTGGAGCATTTAGGGAAAAGCAGCCAGCAGCCTGCAATTGCAGTTCAACCATCTTGATTATGCAAGAGTGAAGAAAATGTCTTTTTAATAGGTTTTGATCAGAAGTGTTGTGTTTGCAGAGGTGGAGGTCTTCAGAGGAAATTTCTACTTGCCTCTGATTTCATTGTTAAGAATAGCAACTTTTTAATTTTTAAGCTTTAAGCCCTGAGAATGCAGGGTACTCCATCCAAAGAATAGCTAATCAGAGCTATGCATTAATATCCAGACTGCTTACATTTCAATGACTGAGCTTGGATCTAAAGCCTTGATTTTGCTTGTGTTTCTTTTCTTTTAGGAAGAAAATTCTCCTTAACTTGCACTTTCAGTGCATTTCTGTTTCGTGTTCTGCAGACCCTACTGGTGTCATGGAATTTGCACAGAATAACCATGGAGCACATCTGGAAAAAGAAATTTTGGGGCCTGTACTCCATGCCTGTCACATAAGGCATAGGGGGATCAACCCCCATCAACGTTGCCTGGGCAAGAGCATGGAATGTATGAGGGATTAGGTAACCAGCTCCCCAGGCTTCAGACAAAAGCCTGAGGCAAAGAATAAAGCTCATTTGACTGAAGTGGAACGTAATCTATCAGCCGTCTTGCTGATTCGTGACGGAACATGAACATCTGGCTTAGAATCACAGAAATATCAATAGCTCTGCAACTGGGAAGCTGTAAGGCATAAAGGAAGGGGCCATATGCTGCATGCTTGTCATTAACTGCCTGAGGCACTTCCTGTGCCTGGAGGAGCTGCAGAGAGACCATGCTGTGCTTTGATCCCCAGCTTGCTCCATGTGATGGACACATCATCATGGCCTGCTGGGGTATCCCTTGTCAACATCACACGGAACAATGGTAACTGCTTTAAAAGCACCTCTTCTCTATAAGAAAAAGCCAAGCCTTCTTCAAGGAGTCCTTTACCTGTCTGAAGTGCTTGCTTCTCCTTCAGTAGAGCAACCTCCTGAGAGATGTTGTCAATCATGGCCTTCAGGTCTTCAATCATTTTGAGGCTCACACCATCTGTTGGAGAAATCCAGAGAGAGCATAAACATCCACCACAGCCCCAAAGGAGGCAGCTGGAGGCAGCTGTTCCTATCATCAAAAGTCCCCAATTCCCTGCCCACAAAGAAAGGCAAAAAAGATTCCCACAGTCAATCAGATAGCATTTAATCACTAGTCTGATTGCACCATCAGCCCACGTCCCTCAGGCTGATTTTGGGGCATTGCTCTCCTCACTTGTTAACCACCAATTCCTGGATTCAAGCATGGGCAGTGGCGGCACCAGTTCTGGGGCTGCTGGCTCTGGGTGAATGACATGGCTGATCCAAGCACCACGGCTTAATGTTCATGATGTTTCAGGGGAGTTGTGGTGATAGCAGCACCACTGCAGCCAGCTGCTCAAGCTAAAGCATTTGGGCTGCTACACATTAGTATTGCATGGGGAGTCCTGCCCAAAATTATTCTGGGAAGCACACTGATATTGCCTGGTGAAAAGTGTCATCTGTGGCTTTTTTAGGTGAGAAGTGCAGCACAACATTTTCATCGCAGCCTCCTTTGTCAAGTTAGTCTTTCCTCTACTGCAAACCACAGTGATATCTGCTAAGACACAGTGAGGAGAATGAGCTGCAAGAAACTCGTCCCTTCAGAAAGATTTTGCTAGCGTTAAATGGAGTCCTGTATCGTGGATCATGCTGTTACCAGAAAGGTCACCAACATATGGCTTAGCACCAGCCCTTCCCTCTCTGGTTTCTCCTGCACAGAAGGACTGGCATGGGATGAAGGAGGTGGAAGATGGGACATAAAGGCATTTGTGGTCATTGCACTATACCTGTCACTCCTCAGTTTGCCCACAAAGCAGCAAGAGAGGCTTCCTTTGGGGTCAGGAATCTGGGGAGCTGAGCCATCAAGTGAGGCAAGTGGGGAAAGAACTTGGATGCTCACCAAAACCACCAGCTTGAAGATTACATGTGGCATGAACACAAAAGCACAGACAGACCAGAAGGAGAGCCTTCAGCTGCTTTCCTCCTTGCTCAATTAACTTTAATGGGTTCAGTTGCAATTCAGGCACTAGGTATTATTTTGGTGCCTTGATGAAAATACTTTGTGGGAAACAGCTAATTAGCACAGTTGTTTATCCACATAAGCCTCTTTTCCAGCAGAACAAATGTCCCTCAGGTTTAAGTAACATCCAAAGGCCATGGTGAGGCACTCAGTGAGTCTTGCCAGGGCAGTTCCATTTGTTGCTCTGCCTGGGAGCAAGAGTAGCATTTGTCTCTGCCCCTTTATTTCCTGAAAGCTCATCTCTCTAAGCTGTGACCAAAGCTGTTGCAGTTGGTTTTGGGGCTGCTGAAGCCAGCAGCATGGCAATGCTGTACCTGGGAGCCAGAGCAAGTCCTGGGGTGGCCACCCCTGAGCAGAAAGGCTGAGAACAGGGACAAGAAGAGAAGGGAATTGCAGAAAGAGATGGGTTGTGATGCTCTGGTTATGAAAGCTTCATGCTTATGTGTCTGAGGCTGCAAATGGGGGCTCAGAGCTGATTTTACTTGTTGCAAAGGCATGTTGCGTAAGCTGTGCCTCAGCCCAGCATGTTCCTGGAGCACAGGAGGGGATGGAGAACCTCTGCATGGGGTTTGTGTTGCTGGAAATGTCTGCAGGCACTTTCTGAAGTCTCTTCCTTACTGACATTGAGGCTCTGAGATCACACAGGAGTTGGGGTAGAGTCAGGAGCAGAGCCCATGTCAGCCTCTACATGCTGATTTGCAAGTACCTGCATCTGGACTCCAAATACCTTACAAATATGTGTTGGAGCTACACAGAGGTGCTCCCTCCATGCCCTCATGGACTCTGCCTGGCTGCAATCAGGGGAAGCCCCCAGTGCCAAGGGTCCCTAGCCTGGACCTCTCCCAGTGGCATCACCCCTGCAGCTGTGGCCAACCCCCACCCCACTGGGGTTTGGAGAGGATTTGCTGAAGTGCTGCAGCTGGAGCAATTACCGGGAGCAATTTGAGAGGGGAATAAAACAACAAGCAAAGTGAATGTGTTATTTCAGCATTTTTGAAATGGTAGTTTTGGGTTTTTCTTGGTGAAACGGCACCGTTTTTGCTCTGAAGGAGATCCAAATGTAAGCAATAATTACATCATGAGGAAAGAAAAGAAATAGTGCAAAGAAAGGAGAAAAAAGAGCTGAAAAAGCTTAAGCTCAAAGCATTGATTTCTTCTGTTTGTGGCGTGGTCACACAGATTAAGAAATACAAACCCAACAAAATGCCCCAACACTCCCATGACTTTGCCCTGTCCAAGCCACCCCAGTGAAGGGCAGGGGGAGTGCAAGGTGGTTGCTGGTGGTTTTCATTCCCTTCATCTGGCCGCCAAACAGGACAGGAGCAAGGATGGGGGACAGGAGTGACATCCCATCCTTACCATGAGCGGGGCTTGGAGGTGGCAAGGGATGAAGAGGAGCCCCAAGAGATAGGGCTCCCATCACTTCCAGTGATAGATAAGATCTCCCTACGAAATGAGATTCCTTCCTGCTACACTCCAGAAATGCAAGGTGGTATTTTTGCTATACAACACAGGACGAAACCACTGCTGTGGACTAAGCAGATCTGCACCAATTTCATAGAGAGGTCCACTGGGAGAAAAAGTTTCTCAAGGATGGGATCTGACAAAAATAGCTGCTGGGAGAGCACGGCCAAACAAATTCCTGGGATGCTTCCTTCCCACTCTCGTTTGCTCCTAAGAGAGCAAAGTGCCTGCAGAGCAGCTCACCGCTTGCTCTGTGCTCTGGGTGTCTGTTCTGGGCTGCAGAGAGGAGGGATGAGAAGGAAAGCACTTGAAAATGATGAGCCGTGCTGCCTGTAATAGGTGATGTACCGCTGCCTGCTCCTGGCTGCAGCCCTGCCACAGCCGCCACTGAGCTTCTGGAAAATGAATGAGCAGAGGTAGGGGCTGGAGGAAGGGAGACTGCAGCAGAGGGGAATTTTGGGGAGAGCCTTACAGAGGACACAGAAAACACGGTGCCCTCTGACCCTCAGGCTGCCCCACCGCATGCATTCAGTACAGCAACCCACCCAAACCACTTCTCTATCCTTTCTAAATTATGAAAGCATCCCTACAGGCGTTAAAAGAAAAGAGAGACTTCCTAGGGTTTTTAAAAGCTAAAAGCTCCATTGGAGCACCCCTAACTGTGCCGACCGCCCCCCACGCCAGGCAGGATCCCGCAGACTCGGCCCTTACCTTTCTTGGAGGCCGCCGGCTTCTGCCTGCCCTTGCCGTTCTGCTGGACGGAGACGTGGGCGAGGGAGACGAGGCAGAGCAGCAGGCAGGCTGCCCGCAGCGCCATGCCGAGCGCTGAGCTGAGCGGGACTGACTGACTCGGCCCGACACCCGGCTTTAATCAGCAGCGTCTGGCCAAGAAGCCGGCCCCGGGCTGCTCGCGGCTTCCAGCGGCCGCAGGGAGGGCCCAAGCGGCTCCGGCCAATGCTGAGAGCAGCCCAGCCAGCTTTCGTCGCTTGTTTTTGTTAAAAAGTGATTAAAAAAACCACACACGCACATGAAAAAAAAAAACCCCACAAGCGTACTGAGAGACAATTCAGCTGAACCTAAGGGAACGGCTGGGCATACAGCTGGAATGACTCCCTATGACTCTCAGCACAACGCCAAGAGCTTGGTCTCACGTTTCAGTGATGGCAGTGGCACTGTGAATCGCAAAGCCCCCAACATTTCTCCCCTCGTTTCACTCAGAATCTGGGTTACTTCAGTCAGGGTGACTTCGGGGCAGTTCTGTGGCCTAAGCCCAAATTACTGCAGGGTTTTTGGGGAGCTGCAGTTGTTCTGGAGTCCTTTCTGTGGGAGGAACAGGAATATCCCAGCAAGTGGAATGAATTCACATATGGAGAGAAGGACAAAGTGCTTTGTGCAGCTATCATTAACTGAAATCCCTTCAGAAAAACAAAAAGCAAGATGCTGCCCAACACACTGGGAACCACTAGAGTTGCATGCACATAAAAGATCTGAGATAAAAAGGGCTATGTATGGAAAAAGACCTGCTGTTGATTTAGTTTGGCTGAGCTCTTACACTGCCTAGCTCCTGTGCTGAGCAGGCAAAGCCCTCACTCCTACCTGAACAGAGCTCAGCAGCAGCCCAAACTTCAAAGCCAAGGAAATGGGTTTGATCTTCACTCCCTGTTACTGCAAACACACATGCACACAATCCCACTCAGACTCAAGCAAGAGAACAAATATTTGGGGGTATTTCTCCTTCCTGGCCTCTCCCAAAGGAGGATGAAGCCCCGGAGGTGCCAAACATCTTCACACCCACGTGTGTTCCCTTCTCTTGACACTCGAGCAGCATCTCCCTATCCAAAAAGGCTTTTGGTTAGCTCAGCACCTCCCAGCTTTCCTTGGCTGCAGATTTGCTCGCCTGTCATTTCTCTGATTCATGTTCTGCCACACAGGGAAAAAACTGAAACGCTCTCTGTGAAACACAACTCGGGTGTGCAGCCACCTGATCCCTGCCCACACGATTTAGATGGCTGTGCTTCCTGAAGGGAAAGGTTTTTAGCCAACACCATCTCAACATGTGGTTTGCAGCAAACGGATCCCTCCTGCAGCAGCCAGCAGGTACCAGGTTTTTACCAGGTTCGCCACAGGTGAGACTTCCACCTGCCATGAATGCCAAATGTCACTTTTGCTTTTCTTGGAGGCTGAAAAAGCTCATCTCTATGAGACCTATTTGACAGAGGCTAAAGGTTCCTAAGCTCACATGAACGCACTCAACAGTAGAAAGCTCATGGGCTGCTGTAGCAGATTCAGGACTGGGATGCTTGTGAGGAAGGGCATTGTATAGGCTGGAGGGTTCTTGCCCACACGAAGCGCACACCCTGTCTGGGCTTCTGCTGAGGCCTGAGACTCCCATTAAATAACAGGGACATCAATGGCCTTTTGTGTGCTGGCACCTCAGCCAGATAGAACACTTCTGAGATCTGGGTGACTCACATATGTTATGTAATGGAGGTGGGTAGAGGTAATCCTCCTCATTAGATGAACTAATTCAACTGGAAGATGTTGAGGTTTTGGCCACTGGAATCTTTCCCCTTTCAGGCTGAAAGCTGAAAGTGAAGCAGCAAGAAGAGCCACAGCTGGGAGCCTCATTAAGCACAGATAATGAGAGGGAAGGAGGAGTGGGACTTGTGGAAGGGAGCAGTAGGTAATTCACAGAAGAGCTAACCAGAAGGAGGAATGTAAGAAAATGCCAAGAAACCAATTTCATTGTCCATACTACGTATATATATAACCTGGAATTCAGAATTCTACTTTCCAGTAAAAGCACTCTTCTCTCTTGTTTCAAGATGGGTCTGCGGTCAGACAGAAAACAACTCCTGTTAGCTCTAAGAAGACCAGTCTGAGGTAAAAAGAAAGAGCAAAAGAGAGCGTGCTTAGGAAGATTGCCCAAAGACTGCAGAGGCTTACGTGGCTCTGGGAAACCCAGTAAGTAGGTTGAGATGCTGTATTTGGAGAGGGTTCAGCCAGCAAAACAGTGGCTGGAAGGAGCCCATGGAAGGAAGCTGGATGCTCCTGGCAATGATGCAGACCTGTGATTTTGTGCCCAGCTGGGCAAGGAAATGGGCAGCGAGATCAGAGGCGATTTTGATCCAGCTCCAAGGAAATGAGTGGAGATTGCCAAGCCAAGTAATGCACGAGTGCCACCACACAATGGCTGGAAGGTAGAAGGGTGGACTAGATAACAGCTTTCACACGGTTATTATCGAGATAGGCAATCACCGGCCCTGGCTGCTCAAGGCTAAGCTACCAGCCCAAAGGCAGGCTGCAGCGATGCCAAGCCATGCTCGCTCCTCGCAGGGCAGCAGGAGCACAGAAGGGCTGCAGCCCCTCTCCTCTGGGAGGTGTCCTGCATGGTGGAGACTTGAAAGCATCTTCACGCATGGGCCATGCAACAACCTCAGGAAGGAACAGAAGAGAAACAGTGGTGGACAGTAAAAATGTATTCTGAGGATGTAGGAAAGCAGAAGAAAATCTCTGGTGTTAGCCACCTTGTGAACTTGTGCTGGCATTGGTCCTGATTTCCGCCAGCATAAACAACATCGGAACAGGTTAAAATGGAAAGAGCTGAATCTATGGATCATTGTTTCAAGAGAAGGAACACGATAATGCTTCAGGAAAGGGTGGTTTTCATAAGGACAATGATGGGGAAAATGAAGGAGTCAGCACTTTGCCAAAATGTTCTCTCTGGTACCAGTACTTGGAAACTAGCCTTGAGCCTAAGGAGGGAGCTTTTCCATACCCTGTACACTCTAGGGGCAACAGTTCAGAAAATCTGTGCTAAAAGAGATTCTCAGGCCTTAAACTGAACAGAATTAAAGCCAAACCACTTGAGTTCATGTGCCAGGAGCTGCTCTGCATCTTCCCATTTCCAAAAGGAGCTGCTCCAAAGGACTCACCCCCTCTTCTGCTCAGAGTATGCAGACTCCACCGGGACAGGGGGTGACCCATCCGTCTTCACTACTTTTCCTTCTGCCAATCTTTCATAGCCATCTCACTATCAGCAGAAGTGAAGACATTGCCAAAGTGAAAGTCAGTATTTTGGGACTGAGAAGCAGACAGCCATTCTGCCAGCTTATAGTGTGGTTGCGTGTCTTCCCCATTGTTGAGCAACTGATTTGCTTCCATGTAGCTGCCAATGCTGAATTAGGGGGTTTTAAGAGAATTTCTATGAACTTTGTGAATTCAGAGAAAAAGCTGCATGATTGGACAGTGGGAAGAAAGCAATGTGTGTGCTTAAAAAGCCTTATCAGATCAAAGTTGGAGGAAGGAAGAGAAGTAGGACCTCATTCAGGACTTTTCAGCACACAGGTTCCCAACCCTGGCAATACCTAAATTTACAATTTGCCAAAATGCAGTGAGACCACATGCTGTGAGAGCACTCTGGTGACAGGAGAGGACAGGTTGGTGGCTCTCCGTGCCTCCAACACCTGCATGGAGCTGGCACAGCTGTGCTCCCGTGGTGACAGCTGGGAGACATATTGGCTGCATCAGGAAGTGGCTGAGATGGCATTTCCTTCTTCCCCTCCCACAGTATTAGCAAAGCTGCTATAATTGTTAAAGTCTAAAGCAGGGAGATCAAATCTGAGCTACAAGTGACATGATACAAGAACTCCAGGGTGCCTGTATTGCTGATCTTAATCAGCAGGATGACAACAGAGATGCTTATAGAGCTTGTAAGCCTATTAAAGTGCTCCAATGAGTAAAACTGAGCTTGGAACTATCGCTGGGGAGTCGTTAACAGCAGCACATCAAATAGTCAAGTGTTGTTTTGCAAGAATGGCAAAAACATATTTTAGAGGACAGCTAGGAATGCAGCTAATTAAAGGAAAAGCAAAAGCACCGCGCTCTCTATAGAGAGAAGTGCCCAGCTTTCAGTTCGGCCTTCTTCTACTTGCAAGCCCATGAAACTCATGGGAAATGCTGATGGCTGGGAAACCAGGCCACTGTGACTAAGGTCAGGTCACAGAGTCACAGAATTTCCTGAGATGGAAGGCACCCACAACGATTACAGAGTCCGGCTCTTGGCTTCACACTGGACCACCCCAAATCCAAACCTTGTGTCTGAGAGTCCTGTCCAAACACTCCTTTAACTCTTTAAATACAGTTTTCTTTGTTTCTGGACTCAAGTTCAAACACCTGTGGCTCTCTGCAGGACCAGCAGCAAGTGCTGGTCAGTGACATCTCCTCTTGCTGCTGCAACCAGCCAGGCCCTGGGCATCACCCAGTGACACAATGACATGTGGGCATCGCGGTGACATTTGAGCATCTCCCAACAGAAGTCCCTGACAATTCCACTGGATTTCACTTGCTGACTGCGAGGGCGAAGACGGCTCATCACAGAAATGTGTCTGTGTGAGAATTTCTGTTAAACAGAGACAGGAAAAATTAAAATTGAACCACCTGAATCAGAAACATCTTCTGTTTCTGAGTCAGAGAAGCTGTTTGAGTCCTCAGGCTTCCCTTCTCATCCTCCAGGACAGGATGAGAAGGAACAATTTGGGACACTGCTCCAGCATGGATAAAAGAAGAAAAGGATTCATTAACTACTTCTTCTGAAGAGCAAACCAAATGTTTCCGTCATATTTCTTTTGCAGAGAGCAAACCCAGCATCTCAAGCCACCATCAACGCTGGCACTGCTGCAATCCTGCCAGACCTGCTGCAGAAGCACAGAGAAACATGCCAGCCTCTGGCCCCCTCCCTCGGCTGCCGCTTCTGCTCCTCCACCTCACACAAGTCCCAAATTTACACCTGGCCCAGCACAGCACCCACAGGCAGCAGAGCGGCAGCTCCTCAGGCCCTCCTCACCTCATCCCTCGCAGCAGCCGTGCAGGGGCAGCCCCGTCCTGCCCCAATGGCACCTGCAGCTCTCACCGGGCACAGGCAGGGGACGGGCCGGCACCCCAGGTGGGACCCACTGCAGGCAGCAGGGATGGCAGCACCAGTTATAGGTTCATGAGTTGGGAGCTCAGACAGGTCTGGAAAGATGTTTGAGTAAAACACCTCCTCCATTCTCAGGTCCTTTTATCTATTTATTTATTTAACGGTTCTGGAAATCAAACGTTTGAATCATTAACTTTTTTAGCTGTCATGTCCTTTTAGTCATTCATTCATTCATTCCTTTAATGGTGACATCTCAGACTGATCTGTATTTTGTCTCTCGAAAGGAAGCAGAACACCAACTTAATGGTCTTCATTAAAGAAAAGAATCAGGCTCTAGATTCTTAGCCTGTTAATTTCAAGAGATAGCTTCCTCTATGAAGCCTTTCAAGTGGTACTTCCTGATTCGTACTGCTCTCAAGAACCGTATTACGTCAGTGTTGCTCCCACCCTCTGGGAATCTTTTCAGTGTATTATGAAGTCTGAAGGTCACATTAGAGATGCAATAAATTGCCAAAACATGAGCTATATCTTATTGGCAGGCATAGGGCAGCTTGCCTGGTATGCATATTTTAGTTTAAATTTTATCTTTGCTTTGGAGTTCATCTAAAGAATGCGTGGGCCGATGCACTTAAACTCAGGCACCAGCATCCAAAAACACTGTCCTGGGAAGGAATGCCAACATCTGCTGTTACACAGAAAAGATGGGCTGCCCAGAGAAGCTGCAGTGCTCCATCCCTGGTGGTGCTCAGTTGGATTGAGTCCTAGGCAGGCTACCTAGTGATTGGCAACCCTGCCCACAGCAGGGAGTTGCAGCAGGGTGGTCTTTGAGGTCCCTTCCAACCCAAACCATTCTGTGATTCTATGACATGGACTCTCTGCAATCTGTTGCTGGTAACAGCCATTTCTGTACCACATCGTGGCCATGGGCCTGAGTAGCAAGAGGTATTTCTGTAGGGTTATGGCTATCCAATGGACTAAGATTTTACCTGTTTTTCTCTTGTTTGTAATGAAAAGACTGGTTTAGAAAGTGAGTAGCAGAAAATCCCCATTCTTTTCACTAATCATTGAGTGTGCAGGGCATGAAGTCAGGCCTGCGGATGAGACTGATCAGGAGTCCGTGGGTGACAGAGAACAGAGGGACTGGGCATTCAAAGCTCTAACCAAAATCAGCACCAGGCACCTGACAGCACTGCGAGGAGCAAGATCTGGCAATACCTGCCCTGCCAGGCACAGTGAATAGGAGCACCCATGTTGAGTCCCTGTGGCAGCAGCTGACTCACACCTGCAGGGAATGCAAATGGGCAGGAGCTGAGAAGGAACCAAGAGGTGTGTGAGCAGGGTCAGGCTGTGCTGGAGGAAGTTTTCACGAAGTCTGATTATGGGTGGGATGGGCCCTTTCCTCCCCACTGCCTTAGTTTCCCTGTAAGGAGACAACAAGCTCTCTTCTCCACCACAAACTAAACAATTCCAATATTGAACTGCTACTGTAGTTGTGAAACGTTAGCTGATCACGTTTCCTAGACTTGGTAAGTCTGTTTACTTTCAGGGTGACACAGAGCACAGACCCAACAGAATGAACGCAAGCAGCAAACCAGCCACAATTGCTGACCCACAGCCTGGCCCCATCAACGAGGTAACCTGCAGCTCAGTGCTTTTGTAACACAAGCAGAAGCCTAGCAGGACTCCCCAGACTCCTCGTCTCTAGCACACAACTTTCAGCCGCTTGACACTCCCAGCAGAAGCACTGAATTTCTGGGACAAACACAGAGCTATCCTGCTCCACAGATGTTTCCTTTTAGCTCTACTGGACTCAAGTCAATGAAAACGTGGCAATATCTGCACAGCAACACATGGAACTTTCCACCAGCCCAAATGGGAACAGGAGCAGTCTCAGTTGAAGCCTTTATGAAAAATCTCCAATTGCTATTTTTGTTTGGGGTGGAAGGGAGGAGTTAGAGAGCAAAGAAAATAGAAATGGGCAGCATAGTCCCTTGCATGCCTGAGAACCACAGCCTCAGAGATTTCTTGGCAAATGTTGTATCAACTGGGAGAGCTGCAGGCCCTTTCACCCCTATCTGAGCTTTGTTTATCCATTCGGGCTATGAGTTGGTAGCAGTAAATCTCCAGGGGCAGCTGAGACTGACTAGCGGCTGTGTATTGCTTTTGGCTGAGCTCATTATTTACATCTCAGGGGTAGAAGCAGCCCCAGGCTGAACTGGAGTCACACTTTACCCCACTGTTTTTCAGTGCCATTAGATGGGAGCTAGGGAGTGCATGGACCAAACAGGATTGCCCAAAGGCATCAAAGTTCTCTGCCTGCTTACAGAGCTACAGAGAATGGAGGGAGGACACACGCAGTTGAAGGAGCCTAGATCTCAGGCTAAATATCCATTTTCTCTAGTAAGGAGAGCAGAAGGAATGCATGTATATTCACTTCCATGGACAGATCAGTTAACCCACCTGAGCTGTGTTGGGGTTTCTTTTTTCTCCCAGTCTTTCTAACAACTAATTTAACATGCAAAAGACCAGGAGAGGGGCAAGGAAGCATCCTATCGCCACTAGTGAAGCTATGACTATCGTTGGTAATTTGTGGAAAGTCTTTAGTCCCTTCAGCTGGATGGCTGCTAGAAATACACTACTCTACAGTGTTACAAAAAGCATCCTGAAAATAACTCCAGGCAGCTTTCTGGTACATGATCACAAATTTGTAACAGAACAGGCAACAGCTCCGCAGAGAACAGCTGCGGTTTAAGACTTGCAATCCTCATTTCGATTAACCATTTTTTGAAACATTAAACAATGCACAACCAAACAGAAACTGCCTGTGATATGTCTAAGGTACTGTAAGTGGTTGGTTTGTTTTTTTTCCCTTCAGTTTTCTTTCTTTCCAGAAGTAGCTTTGCATGGCGAGGAATAAAACACATCTACCATAAAACTTATGTCAGGTTTGTCTTTGCTCCACACAAAATAACTCTAATGGTGTATTATGATCTACATAATCATAATCACTTCTTGTCTCTTGTTATCATAATCTACCAAACCCATCAATTCAAGTTCAGAGAAGAAACTCCAAACTATTTGAAACAAGGCATCTTGGGCAAATGTTGTAGAATTTTTCTACTTGCTCATTATGGTATTGGCTGCACATATCTGACATACACAGCAGCACTGCACTTCACCTTGAATAATTATTTTACCGAGCTCTAGGAAAAGGACTGAAGAGATTTTGAGATTGCTGTTTGAATGTGGGCATAGTTGTTTTGCACTATAATCAGCTCACCTTCAGCAAACATGTTCCAGTCAAGAAATTTTCTACATCTGGTATTAGGAAATTACAACAGGAAACTGAGAAAAAGCTGCTTGACTAAAAGGTAAAGGATTTTGGGATTACTGCTGTGGCTTTTGTTATACTTGCTTTAAGGAACCTTCTAACACAGCTGAAACCCCTTCTTATAATTTAACTTTTCCTCCAAGTTCTCCAATCTGTCATCTCTTCCTATCATGCAGGAGGAACAGCTCTTGCTCTTTTCTGTACAAGCCAACTGATGCAGGCATCCACTGCTTTAAGGATCTGGTGAAACAACTCAACTGCACACGTTATCAGGCATTTTCTACTGTATTTCCCAGCTTTGATGTATTCCAATCTTTGTGAAAACAAAGCAGAATAACAAGAGTTTTCCTCTTGTTACAAGCTGTACAACTGCCTCCCTGTTCATTCCAGCTCCAGTCCAGTGAAGCAAAAAACCTGCATTCTCTCACATGCCTCTGTAGGGCAATAGCAGAAGTGAGGCTTTAGCCCTGTAGCACGGCTGCCCCACGACCTTAAGGATCATTACTCACAGCCACTATGCTTTTCCAGCTGAACTAGCAAACTCAGAAAAATTCATTATTTTCCCTTCAACCTTAGGCGTGCCCCTTCTCCACCATAAGAGGTTTCGCCCAGGCTATTGCATCTGCTGGCAAGAGGGACAGATGGAGTTTTATTTAATAAAATATCTTATTTTAAAATAGGATTTAGAAGCTTGTGAGCATACTGCATTTATAGTAAAATCTAACTTCTTTTTACTGAAAGAAATGCAAGATAATTTGAAGGAAGACTTTCATTAAGTAACACTTTCTTTCTCCCATTAATATGAATTATCTGGCTGATGAACAAAGAAGTTCTAAGAGGCCCAAAACCTGGCTTGTGCTGTACCAAGGACACCCCCACAGATGCTCTCAAACTCAACAGCTGGTCTGCAGAAGTGGAGTACATGCAAACTGAATGAAGCAGAACCAACATCAGTCACCCTTGAAAACAGACTTGAGCACTTCCTGTGCTATTGCATCAATTGTGGCTGTGCATCCTAGGTGCAGGCAATTACCCATATGGGAAGCATCCCCCATTTGCCCTTCACATCTAACTATCACTTTCTTTCAGCTCAGTAACACTTCTAAAGCCTCTTAGTTGGAAGCTACGTACTGCAACAAAAACATCCTTTCTCTATATACGAAACAGACAAGATTTGCACAACTGGTTAAAAACAGCTTTGAACATTTAATAAAAACTCATCCTAGAAATCCAACTTTCTGACGTGTGGTCCCCAAACTCTCCTCTTCATCCAAAACCTTCTGAAGTGATGCGTGCAATGACTTTCCTACTTTCTTTCCAGTCTACAATGCAAAGAAAGCAAAACAAGTCTGAGACATATGCTTATTAACAGGAAGACAACTCTCATGTCCTTTTGACAAATATTTTCCCATTAATGATTAATATACACCAGCTGGTATAACAAAAACAAAGTTTTAATTAAGAAAAATTATGGTGGTGGAAGTTCCATTTTAATTTGACTCAGTTCTGGAAAAAGTACAGCGCTCCTATTTATCACAGAAGTATCCCACAGTCATCAGTGCTAAATGCTGTGTCCCTGGATTGCCCAGGAGAACAAATTAAATTCACATCAGGCACAAACACACAAATTAGCCAGCATATGCAATACAAAGCAGTACAGTTTCTGTACAACACCATACGTACCCCTTGGTACCTAACTGGGTTGCTGTGTTTGGGGCAGTGTTGAACAGATAATCTCTCACCTCCCAAAAAACATCTTCTCATCATTACTTCTCATTTCTTCTCATCAGTTTACTCCCTCACTCCCTCAAATTGCTCACCACCTAGAAGAGTTCTTCTTCCAAAGCTTAAGCTTTAATGCCTCCCACAAACAAGTAAGGAAAAGAACTCTTAAGCAGAATAAAATGGTTTGAAGACTCCCATACACACCTCTGATTAGTGTTTATGGAAGCACTGTATCATCTCAAACACAGTTTTTGAGGGTAGACTGTACAATGAAACCACATCAGTTCATTTTCTAGTTAGGGCTCAGTGTAGAGTAAAGTTGGTCATCGAAACAGAACTTCTGATCACTGTTTTCTGCATTTAGACATCAGAAAATTTGCACTGGGGCTGGCTTCTACCATGAGCCTGTATCTAAACTAAGCACCTCTTACTCTGTAGCAGCCCTACACCTAAAACCTCAAGTCTTCTGTGACATTAGGTTAGAATTGGACTGAAAATCCATCGTGGCAGACATATCAGATGACCATATGAAGTTCTGTTCATTTTGTTTCTTTTTTAGGATGCCAGATCAGAGATAAACCCTACCTAAAGGTAGAGATAAACCTATCCTAACCAGCAGGATAAGTGACCTCTCTGGATGCAAGAAGACCCTCATTGGTACCGCCAAGATTAGAACTCTGGATTGACATAATGAAATAGGGAAATGCAACATCTACTCAACACAAAATTTCCACTGGAGAACAACTGTTTTCAAACTTGGCTCCAACTGCTGCATTCCTCACTACAGCCATGCTAAAATTAGCTCTGGATCTCTAGGAAACGGAGCCAGCTTTAAGTATTTAATTTTCATTCTGACTCAAAGTTCAAAACCCATTTCACTTTGATGTTCAAGGCCAAATCCAGGCATGAGAATTTATACTAGAAGACGGTTTCAAGAAGAGCCTGAAGTTTAAAATGGAATTCTCACATGGATGTGAACAACACCCAGATACTGGTATTTTAATGGAGTAAGGACATATCAAAAACCCAATAAAGGAGCAAAGAAAAACAACAGTAAAATGAGAAAAGCTTATCACAAAACAAATGAGTTGCTCTAGAACGAGCACGCCATGCACTAGCCTGGTAAAGTCCCAGTCCTACTTCCACAGGGACATTACCGTGTTAGAAGCTTTGCTCTTTCACTCTTTACAGGAAATAATGGGATAGGAGACATGTCTTACAGCTGTGGGTTGCCCAGCTGAAACAGATGTGAGTACTACGCACTCCAGGTATCCTGAAGTTTTACACAACTTCTATCCATATGCAGTTCTGTTTCAAAGGAACCGTCTGTGCCCTGTAACAAGTCTCTTTCACACCTAATACAAGCATCAGGGTCCTTGTTTTTGTTACTCTAACATTTCATATACTCAGGTTCCACTTCATCCAGTATCACCAGTATGCAAGACAGTAACTGCACAAAACTTCTTACCTCCATCATTTCAAAAATGCTCTCAGGATCAAGGCTACCTTTCCCTATTTTCTTCATACAAGTGAGGGCACCTTTACTGGTTATAGCAATAAGCAGGCTGGCCAAACAACAGGCTTCTTCCTGAAGGGTAGCATCCACCACATGCCTATATCCAATCTGTAAGTTAATGACAAAAGAATATGTCAGTTTGCAGTTGTTTAAGTTCTTTACTAAGAAATTAAACTGTAAGTTAGATAGTTACCTGTCAATCTCCTACCCTAACATCATGTAATCTTTGGTAGTGTTTAGAGACTGAGTTGATAGTACATCACTACAACAGCTTCTGACCACAAACTACATGCACATATGAAACAGAAATGAGATAACCATGTTTCTTCAGTTTTATTTTTTTCTGACCACCCTTCTAACTGTATGAAACTCCATACTCCCTTTTCATCTCATCTCCAAGGACGGAGTTCCCTCTCTTCCAGGCAAAAATGACAGATCTTGAGACTCAGGTGAGCTCCTGGTTCAGTCAGATGGACTTCCAACTTGTTATGTAACTTGCTTAAAAGATACATTGTACAAACTTCCCAGTAACAAAGCTAATCACTAACAGATGCAATGAAGAATGCAGCAGCCAGCAAAACAACTGTTAGCTGCGAGCTTCATGTGGAAAAGGAAAGTGAAAACCTGTTTGAAAGGATGATTTCACACCCATGAAAAGAGAGCTCCGCTCCCAGCAACAAACTCCAGGCAGATCACTCAACTTTTGAACTCTGCAATAATGCTTATTTGTTTCAACATACTGGAGTGTCTGTTGCTCTGAATGTTGATCAATGAGTAAATGAAAAACACACAATGATGAGATTTCAAGAATGCATCAAGAGGAAATGTGTAAGTCAGAGATGGAAAAAAAAGCTTGATAGTAGAAGTGGATGAGCCAACTGGAATACTTCCTAAGATGAACATATACACAGTTACCACTCATCCAACACCACTTTTATCTCTGAGGAAAAAAAAAAAAACCAACAGCTGAAATTAAAAGAAACTGAGGTCTCAGGGCAGGTGGTCAGAATTTTCCAGGCTTACTTTGTTCAACGTGACAATGCAGGGCACATCATCCACATTAAGTCGAATACAATCGTAAGGGTCATCAGAGAGCTCAATCTCTTTAGAGCCTTCTTCATCCTCCAGAACACGTACTTTGGGTATTCTGCAGAAACAAGTATGTGCAAGTTCATTGTCAGAACAGGCAGTGAAATGAGGCTACATGTTTAGAAAAAAAATCAGGACATTATCAAAACATTAACGACTTACTGAACAAAAAATGAAAGATATTCAGTTGAGTTGGAAGATATTCAGAATGACACTGTTCATTGGCATCATTCAGACCTGTAGTTGTCTGACCCTTGTAGACAACCATAAAGCTGTCAGAATCACAGCAATTGCATTGCTTGGCAGAGCCATGCTATCAGTAGCGAATGTAAGCAGTAAAGCAGCTCAGGAAACAGTGACACCAGTTAGGGAGACTTGGGGGAAAGGGTAGGATGACACTAGTAAAATCCTCTCTCTTCAGCAGCTTGGGAAGGTTGACAAGATATTCTCATTCTTTAGAAGCCAGAATTCTTAGCATAATGAATAGCCATTTAAATCAATTTAGCAGAAGATGGTATCTCAAGGAGACAAGAAATTCAGCATCTTACAGAACCTCATTTATCCAGGTGTCTGCTAGAATGCAGTACTGAGATACTCTGCTTTATTGGCCAGTACAGCCCCCACACAACTCAAGTGATCTGCTCCCACTTGTATTTGAACACAAGAACATAAAATACTTGAAGATATCCCTGGAAAGCTAATTTCAGTAACCGTGCGGAACATAACCTCAAACTCTTTTTATGTTAGCACTTTTACAGTAGCACTGTTTTTCATAGCTAGACTCTCAAGGTTACATTTGTTTATGCATTCGGCACCAAATCCCTCTCTAAGGTTGAGATAGGGACTGAATTTTTCTCCAGGAAACCAAAGTGATTTTTGTTGTTCCCTAGACAAATGTTTCAGTTATTTGTGGCTGGGGATATGAGAGCCAACAGCCAACCCATGTTTAGTAAAAACAAATTTCTTACAAAAATACTGCCCTGAGCCAAGCTAAAACTAAAACTTTCAGTAAGCAGATAGCTACTGCGTTTCAAGAAATTAGGATCAAAAATGCTCTGTGCTACGTAACAACTCACTGGAGAGGCATCAAAGTCTATTTTCAAGCTAAAAATATGCCATTAAAATTGATGGAATAAAGTCACAAGGTGACTGCTCCTCAGGGTATACAGACAATGCACAGCATTGGACACCAGCCTAGACAAGGAGTACATGTGCCAAAGCACTGCGTAAAGAGAAAGAAGATCAAGAAACAGTCCATGAGATTGATTAAGCAATTTTAACCTCCATCCCAAAATAGTAATGAAAGCACAGCAATGTTTGGGCTGCAACAAGAAGCTGACAGGATTCATACCTGAAAATTCCCTGCAAGGAACTCTTTTGGCCAAGAACAGGTAAGACAGAGTACAAACTACGACTACTGGAAGGGCTGAAAGACTATTGATCAAATGCAAGCACCATGTTAACATGAAAGAAAGGTACATACACATAAAAAACTAAGGATTCAAATGGGCATGAAGAGTGTTTGTAGCACAAAGAGCACATCCAGAAAATGTGAGATTTCCTCTCCAGGTTTGTGAAGATTTTTCTTAAGAACTAGCTGTACACGTTTGCTTTGTAGCTTTTATTCTTCTGTTGTGATTCCTGCAACTAATCAGCACAGAGATCTGTACAGCAGGACTCAGTCACATAATGAACAACGCTCTTGTCCGTGCAACAGAGACACGTGGTTCACAGCAGCAAAACCTGTTTTACACTTACATGCAGGTATCACTTACGGGGTGGCTGGTGGCCCTGCATGTGGCAGGGGGATTGGAGATTCATGATCCTTGAGGTCCCTTCCCACTCTGGCCATTCTGTGACTCTGTGATCAGTTCTGTACCTGCCATGCTGCCCAGCAAAAAAGCAGCACATCTGCACGCCTGTTGTGCTACAAACTCTGTAGCTTTTGCCATTTGCCTCGTTTCTGTTGCCTCAGTTGCAATGGAGCACATTCCATGGGATTAGGTTTAATGCTAAATTTTGATGTGGTGGCTGCTTGCACATTTTGCACTATCCACTTCAATCACGGATAAATCTAGCCTTAAGCACCTTCAGTTTTCAGTTAGGAATAAAGTCTGCTATCAGCCATCTTTCATACATGATCTGCATCTAGTTTTTAGAACACAGTAAGCAAGATGAATGAATCTCCAAAGAGTAAATATTCCCCCTGTGACAGTCATGTTGTCATTGCTCCATGGCTGAAGGGGATACAGTGAGTCAGGTCAGACATAACAGGATTTAAATACTATAATCCTTGCACAACATTCCCAAAGTTACTATAATGGATTTACTTAGCACTGAACAAAAAGTGTGCTGGATGACACAGCTATTATAAAACATGGTTAGAAGCAAAATTCTAAGGATAAAGCTTTTCAAATGCCCATCTGAATATCAGAAGAAAAAAAAATGTTTCAAAGAAAACAACCCAGCAAATTGAACTTTCTGCTCTTGATTTTAAAGCTGAATTGAAGGCTGACAAAGATCTGAAAACACTTAAAACCTGGCTGCAAACAGATTATGAAAGGCGAGTAAGACTCAAAGAGAGACACAGACTTCAAGTGAAGTTCAGAACACTTAATCTGAAGTGATCTTCAAATTGACATCACCTTACTCAGGCAATAGTACTTTAAGGAAAGTGGGCAGCTGCTCTAAACTACCTTTGTATCAATCCAAAGAAAACTTAGTAGACATTAAGGGAAAGAGGAAGGAATACCGAACAAGGACAACAGCTTTTCACTTCGAATTTCAGCCCTGACTCTGTGAGCTCTGATGAGATTAGATGTACTTGCATTCCCTGCTCCCGTCACAGCAGTTTTCACAAATCAAAACTAACATGCTTTCTGTCATGTCCTATCAGACCACATTTTGGTTGGATATCCTACACTGACAAGACTGAGGATGGTTACACACAGATCAAAGGCTGTACAAGAGACAGTTTCCAGAACAATCACAATATAGCCTCTATGTTTTCCATTTTCCTCCAAAAGCAACAAACTCATCTTTTTTTTCTTAACTTGTTTTTGAATGTGACCTTCACTCTTTATTCAAAACTAGAATTCTTCTTGAAGTAAGAAAAAAGGCAGAATAATCCTGCAAATAAAGGATGTGCCTTGGATCTGTGGAACAACTCACGTGGGAGCAACTGGTTTTAAACACTCAACTTTTGCATCCTGGAAGCCCACACAGAAAGAGAGGAATTTCTTCCTTTTAGACTGCTGTCAAGTCTCTGTGAGCTGTTAACTTATTACACTATTTCTTACCTTACAAAAACAATCCACTGCTAAAAGGTACAGTTGAGAACTTAATTAAGATGGGAAAATTCTCAGCAATACAAAGAAGCCATTGTCTCAGGTGGGTTTCCCCCTTCCCCAGCATTAAGGTGTTTATAACCCAATATATTGTCTCTGTCTTCAGTTTATTTTCTTCTTCTTGCATGCCCTTTTCCAGCTCCAGTACTGCACACTGCTTCCCTGAGGAATAAGCAAGAACTGTGCCACTGACTTCAGCACATCTCTAATTTACAGCTGGAAAACAACTGGAGATCCAATTTAAAACTTTTATGCCTTTAAGATTCTCATTTTTGCACCTCTTCCAGACATTTATGCGAGCTTTTTTAGAAAAACCATTCACTGGTCTCTTTCTCAAGGGTGCTACAAAACTCTATATTCCCTTAAGATAACGAAGATAAAAACACTAGAAAAAATTGCTTCTGAATACTACTGTCCTCAGAACACTCAAAATGTAATTGTATTAATGATACTAGCAGATTTCATTCTTCTGTTCTTTGAACTAAAATGCACAGGAAAACTCAAACTAAGACACATCATTTCACAGTCCCCACAACCTCTCAAACCATTTCTCCCCTCTGTTTCAAAGGCAGCTGTGTATTAACAGCCAATAAGAAAGAACATGGGAAAATAGAGCTAGTTACAAGCCTGCTGGTCATCCTGGCACAGAGAGGGCTTCTTAGTCAGAAGCATCACCTGTCAGTAAATGCTGCTTATTTAACAAACACAAAGGCCTTCAACAACTTGCAACAAGACTATAGTGTGAACACAGTGCAATACAACACTTCATTGGTAGGAGAAAGTCATGAGTTCATGTTACTTGCCTGCAAACAGACTGCTTTTTACCTGAACTGAAGTCACAGTTAAGATTTTCTTACTTAAAAACAGTGAGCACAAAAGGCTGAGCTCATAGAAAGTATTTCTCTTCCCCTGTCACTTGCACTCACATGAAATGAGCTCTGTGCTTTACCTTGTGTTAAAGAGAGCTGCCTTCACCGCGATAGAGATTGCATCAAAGAGGTTCCCACCACATTCCAGTAACTGGGGAAAAGAAAAAAAAAAGAATCTTTTTAAAAGAAAAATCGAGTTAGTACCTTTAAATGAAGTCTCCAAAGAATTCTAAGAACTAGAATAGGCTAAAAAAAAGTTATCTTAAAAGCCTATGGCAATGAACACCAGGTACGAGATTAAGATTTCTGTAGACTGCATTATGCATGGGAAATAGAAGACTTAAAGCACTTCATAACAAAATTAATGATAAAATTTCATAATAGAAGCTGAACTGAATTCACTACTATTCTTACTCTTCTCAGTAAGGCTGTCAAGTAGAATACAACCAGACTATTTCCGATACACTCAGAATGTTTAAAGTTAGCTCAGGAAACATCACCTTCTATTTAGTATTTCAAAAAGGAATCTTTGTTTTTTTAATATTAGATGGGCAAACCCAGTTGGTGTTACTGTTTCTGAAAAAGCAATGCAAATTCTCACCTAGGACAGAGAGTGAAGTTGTTTAATACTGTCATACATGAAATTTATTACACAAAGTACAGTGTGAAGGCACTTCTTGATTTATCCTCTATTCTTTATGGAAAAGGAGTAATCCTTTCCATAAAATTCCAGTTTCTCTTGTAGCTGACAAAGATCTAAGGAAATTCTGTTCTCAAAGCCTGCTTATTGATAGCACTGTCACTTGAATCAAAGCCTGTGGAAGGAGGCTAGCTCAGTTTCTTTCCATTAAAGTCAGGAGAAAAACAGCCAAAAAGATGAACAGCACTGCATACTATTATAAAATAGCAGGGCTCCCATAACCACTTATACCTTCTATAGGCTGACAGACAACTCAGAGATGCATTTAGTGATAGCCTAGTGATAGCTCTCTGACAAGTCTCTCTCTCCACTCTGAGTTTGCTCACAGACAGTACTATTTGATGATCAAATCCCCACAAGCATTTGAAACTATGCTGGTACGAACACTGGACGTAATGCAGAAGCATTCATTCTACGCTGCACAACGAGAGCAAAACAAGTCTTACAGCACTGACGGTTCTTCGAAATCTATTTAAGAACGAGATTTCCTCCCACACTGGGAGAGAGTCATAAATCAGATATTCTGGAAAGACAGCTTATTTTTATTAAGACAGACTGAATTGTGTAAACAGAATGACAAAAAGTTGGGATGGAAAGCTAATACAAAGGTAATCAAATTATTTCCTTGCCAACAGCTGCTGGATACAGAGAGGTTAACTTGCCACTTTCAGGCACTATTGGATTTTAGTGGATAATGGAATAAGCCTGCAATATTTTTGTTATTAAAACACAATAAAGGGATGTGCCTGTACTGTTACTAGGTTTGTGTTCAAGCTACTATTCTAAAGCCTTATCTGTATTACACTGGCGCCTATGGGCTAGGAACTCAGCCTGTACCAAGCATGGTGAAACAATTCCTCCAAAAATAAATGAATGCCCTCTTTTCAGCCTAAGCATGTTGTCATGTTGTACTGAGGTTTCTCCATCCCCCTGCATTCATATCTTTTTTTTAAATAAAACAAAAGGACTGAAGAAAGCCTGCTCAACTCTGAGTTTTGGGAAGCAAAAGTTTCTAGGAAGGACTCACTTCTAATTTACTGATACACAAAAGAGAAAGTTATCATGAGTAGAAAAACAAACTATTGCAGGTCTTGCCTTATTCAGAGACTTTAATCAGAAAGGACTGATTTCTAAGTTGTTGGGTTTCTTTCCTCCAACAGGACTGGGTTAAGATGGGGATCTCCTGAAGAATGCTCAGTAACATTTCAACAGAACCTAATGCAAGATCCAAGCACACCACGTAGTACAATGAGATAGGGAATGGAAAAAGAATGCACAGCTTCAGCTCTCCTTGCTCAGTGTGGCAGCCTGCTGGTGTGAGTTATGTGAAGAAGGCAAAATGTGTCAAAAACATCCCTCCAAATCTCCTAAAACTTTATTTCAAACATTAATAACTCGGGAAGGGAAAGAAAAAGACAGAAAGACAGAAGGTGAGAACAGGCCGTAGCTCTGCAGTGCTGTACAACTCCCACATTCAAAGAGTAGCTCACACATCTGACCTTCTGCTGTTATTAAGAATATTTTGAAAGGTCAAGGTACATTTCTCAATCTTTAAATCATATCCATGTGTGGAGAGTGGGGTTTCTGAGTGATCAAGCAGCACCTATGTAACGTGTCTGGCTGAAATCTGTAAGTATGAAGTACTTGCATCAAGTACAAGTATCACATGTGATACACACATTTTCTTTTTGGAAAAAGAAACAATACAAATACCTTAAAAAAGTTAAAATGCAGAAAGCTCGGGCAGCGTGGGGGCAGAATAGGAATCTTAACATTATCTAATTCTATCTACATCACAGCTCTTCTGTGGCTGTCGCATAAAATTATGCAGAATGCTACATTAAAAGTCTCCTCAACTTTAGAATCCTAGTTACAACGGATTCTTTATTGATACTATAAATAAAGCTAAACAGAATACACTACAGAACATGGGTGTTCATAATCCTGACATGACAAGTAGCTTAAAAACATCAAGGCTGTTCTCCTCTGGAGCTGTGGACAATCGACAGATTTGTGCAGAACAACTCAAATAAATATCAGTTATAACCCATACAAAAGTTGAACAGAATAATTTCTGCAGCAATCAGCATTACTGAAGTCCTTGTTTATGCTGCAGAAGCAGCACATGGCTTAAATAAGCACAGCTCTTAACATCCTGCACCTCTGCATGCAATTACCTAGTAACGGAAGGTCCCGGTATTTCTGAGAACTGGCACTTCACTCCCTATTAAACTGTGCCAGGCTCCACTGAGGTGGTGACTGGAGTTGTTAAAGCGCTCGTCAGTGATACATATTTGATCATTCTGTATTTGGAGAAAGCCAGAGTACGTTCCATGTCTATGTAACCAGAGTAATGGTTTTGCTATTTAAAAACTCAGTGGATTAATTTTCACATTTATTCGTATTTCATTCTTGTTTTAATACAAGTCTGTCTGCACCTTTTTGGGGAGGCAATGCAGTTTAACGTGTAGTAAGTAATTCATAGACATTAATTGATTCCAGTGCGTAAGATCCCTCAACATAATTTCAGTTACACATTTGGCAAGTGGAAACTCAACTCTGCACCAGTAAGAGTAGGAAACAAAGCTCTGGAGAGTCTGACTTGCAGAATTCTATTAAATTGCCATGATGGGAATTTAAATACAGCATTACTTGGAAACTGAGCTGCTGCACACACAAGACTTACACGCACAAAACTGAGTTTCCAGTTTTTAATGGGAACAAATATTCACTTTCTTTTTTACATTCAACATGTGTATACAAATTCCACAAAAGTGCCTAGGCCAAATGTTACGTCTGCCATACAAGTTTCACTGAACAAAGAAGCTGACAGGAGGGAAACTCATATTAGGGCTAATATACCTTCATGCTCAGTTATGCTCAATCAAATGATACATTCACTTAGAAAAAAGTTCAGCCTTCTTTAGTGGCAACTTCCCTGTGAATATGAGTTCACTGATTTTATTGGTGACAGATTTGCAGTATTTCAATCTGTTTTATTAGCTCTGTAGCAGAGCAGAAAGAGGAGGAAAAGAATAAGCAGAATGCAGTGACTATTATAGACAGATTTGCAAGAGAGTAGCCACCCATGCTGTGAAACATTAAGCTGGATTAGAGGAAGAATTTTTTATATGAAGCTAAACACAGCTATGCTAATGCCAATGCCTTGAAAACCTCCTTGGACCTTTTTAGTTTTCATTTTCTTACTTACCAATACATCAACATAGAGAACCCAGCAGTGTTCCCTGGGATTAATGCAAAGAGATTTCAAGTCTACGCTCCCCTCACTGCTAAATATTCTGTAGAGAGTACTTGCTATCTCTGTGCCAAGTTCTTCTCCTCCCCGGCCTTCAAATTCAGGAGTAGCATTTGCAGAACTGGATAAAGAAGAAGAAAAAAATACCTTTCACTTTTGAGCTGCATTTCTTAAGTGCAAATATATACCTCAGCATAAAATACTAGAAATCTCCAAGGATTTATGTGTACAAGAATAAGCACTTAATCTGTGAAAAAATTATTTCCATTTTGCATAACAAAATGCCTTAATGCAGATGGATTGTCTATACTAGGTACCAAATCTGACACTGACTAAATTCCAGTCTTCAGTTCCCAGCATCAGCATGAAAGGTAGTAAATTCCCCCTGCAATTAGTTCTTAGGCAATCTCACCTTCTATTGCCTCAACACTTTCAAGAAAAAGAAATGAGAGAAAATTGTACTAAGTTCAGAATGGCCAAAAAGGCAGCCTGTTAGAGATGAATGTTAAATTAACAAGATAAGAAAGGAAGGCAAGAATGTAATTAATAAGGTAAGAAGAGAAAGACGTGATGTTATAACAAGGATTTGCAGAATTCATATGATTGCCTGATTTAAATTGGTAATTTCTTTTCTGTGAGCATACTCCGTGCCACCAAACCTCTTACAGACTGCAGTTCATTATTTTCAGCAACCACTGTTTATGGACAGGAGCTAAAAAACATCTTTTTCCAGAAAGAATCCAACAAAAAAAACACGTGTGGTCTTTGTTTTCCCAATTCCAATATAATAAACTTCATGAGGTCGTGCAATAAAGTGTTCACAGCTAAGAACAACATTCTAACAGCAGGCCCATGCAAAATAAATAGAAACCAAAACCTCGAAATCACAATGAAAAGGAGCAGAAATGCCCAGAGATGAATACATGGTATGATAAGAAACATTTTGAACACACTCCCAGTGTACAGAGAGGGCAAAAGCGTGCTCAAAAGTGGACTTCTGGCAAGCACTGCAGATTTTGGTTTTAAATAAATTAGTCACATCTCCATCTCTCCAAGATCAATTTCTCTTGACAGAATATGAGAATGAAGGAGATTCCTCAGAATTAGCTTGATATGTACAAATCTCTGAATGTAAAATACCTGAATTGCACTGGCTAGGCACCCTGCAGTGCCAATTCCTCATGCACTTTTTGTACCAATACGATGATCCTTAGCTCTCTTCCAACACTGAAAGAATGCAAACATACAGCACAAAACAAACTCTTGGAATATAATTGCTTCACCTTTAAAACTTAAACCATCAAGGGTGCTGTATCAACACAACTGTGGAGCCTACAAGGGAAGCCCCTGCTACACAGCAACTCTCCCAACTTTGCACAACTGATGAAAATCCAGAATGCTGGGAAGAGCTACTGGATTTCCTAGGAGTTATTTGCTGCTTATATAAGGAGATTTTACTATACATGCTAAAAAAATCAATACTGCTGTCAATGAAGCACTGACCTATGCTTACAGACCACTTTTACTGTGCAAATAAGCACTGAAAATGTAATGCTATTATTTGCAGTTGCATTAATATTATAGAATCGTAGAATGGTTTGTGTTGGAAGGGACCTTTAAGATCATCTAGTTCCAACCCCCTGCAGGGACACCTCCCTCTAGACCAGGTTGCTCAAATCCCCATCCAGCCCGGCCCTGCATGCCTCCAGGGAGGGGGCATCCACAACCCCTCTCTGGGCAACCTGTTCCAGTGTCTCACCACCCTCACAGAAAAGAATGTCTTCCTTAGATCTAGTCTAAATCTACTCTCTTCCCATTTTAAAGCCATGCCCCTCCATCCTGTCGCTACATACCCTTACAAAATTCCCTCCCCAGCCTTTCTGCAGGCCCCCTTCAGATACTGGCAGGTTGCTGTAAGGTCCCCCTGGAGCCTTCTCTTCTGCAGGCTGAAAAGCCCCAGTTCTCTCACTCCTCATAGGGGAGGTGCTCCAGCCCTGATTTCGTAAGACAGGACCATAATTAAATGTACCTTAAATCTGGAAATATTTCCAAGTCAAGGCTTTAGGTTGTGTTAAAGGAGAACTTACCCACTCAAGCAGTTTTTTTGCAAGTTCACCATACCATTCTGTTTAACTTCTCTTTAGAGTACAGTTCCTGCAAGCATTACGCTTTTCATGAGAAGTTGAATCATAAAAACTTTAATCTACAGCTCATTATTTTTAAACACCAAGTTTTATCAAATGCTCTAGTTTTGAAATACAAATGGTTGCTTTCTTTGACAGCAGGTCAAAGGTGAGAAGAACGCAAGACCCAACTGGAATACTGCAAGTTTTACTGCATCTTAATGCCATCATTATTTTAACACTTCAGTTCCACACAACCCAAGTGCAATTCAGAAGTAATGTTGTCAGGGTACTGACATAATAACTATGTGGTAAATACTGCCACCCAATGCTCACAGAATACTTCAGTAATTTAGACTCTCAATAAAATGAAAGAGGGTTATCTAGTACACTAATAAAGGAAAAAGCCCAGAAGTATGTTTTACAAAACACAGAAAGAACTTAATAGTGACCATAGTGAGTACAGAGCACAGGAAATTTCTACTCTTAGAATGTAGATTTGGAGAATTTTAAAACCATTTCATTGTCACATCACACAACATTCAAGATTCTTCTGCCACAGATTGCTTCCTTAAAAATATTTTTTCTGTTCCCCGTTTAAAATCTTTCTCCCAGTAGCTGAAAACTGTTGCTCAGGCCTTTAATATACTGTCATCTACAATGCAAGAAATTATAGTAGGGAAAACATTTAACCAAATGACAGATAATCTTAAAGATGTATTTACTTTACTAGTTTAAACAATGTAAAATCCAAGAAGCACATAGAAGAACCTCACTATGAGAAGCAGTGTATCAAAATGTGCTGAATTACTACCACCTAGTGGGAGCCTGAAAAAGCATCAGAGCACTGAGAACATCTCACTACCCTATCTATGCAGAAACCAAAAAGCTTTCACTTCAAACGGTGTCTTTGGGCTCTTTGTTAAAGCTAGAAGCCACCTTACCTTGACAGCACAAGCACAGGAGAAGTGATTACTCTTCTCTCAAATTTATGCTTTTGGCCTGTGTTATTACAGAAAGTGAGAACAGCACATTTCTAGAATCAACAAGATCCATCGATACTGCTGCACATCTCCCTCCCATCTTACAAAGCAGTGGTTAATAGCTACAAATTAGAACCTAACATTAATCTAATGAGTTAAAGTTTTGCTGTTCCTGCTGATGAACGGAAAGATCTGCCACCTGTATGTCATCTCTGGAATATTTCTTGCTGTCACTTCCAAGCACTGCTGCTGGGCAGAACACTAACACAAGCGTTAGCGTTAGAGAGTACCAGCGTTTAGAGCTTCTTTTGTTGGACTTTGTCTGAAAACCAACAGAAGCAAATAAAAACTACTTGGAGTATTTCATACATGAGCTTTATAAAGAAGTCAGCTCAGATACTACCTAAAAACAAGACCAAATCTGGGAAGAACACCCTACTGTCTTACATTTTTTGAACAGTAGTCACAGATAAACTAATTCCTAGGTGGGTCCTTTCCTTGGCAAACCATAAGTTTCCATAGCTAACCAGGAGACTGTGATGTATGCATGAATTCTTAGATAAAATTGCATAATGCCAGAGATACAAAAGTATTTACACAGATAATACCAGTTACCTCAAAAAGATTATCAGATATATGAGTTTCTCTAAATAAGCATATCTCAGGTTTACTAACACAGATTTAACTTCAGAGTACCAACAACAACAACAACAACAACAACAAAAAAATATATATATATCATAGGCAGAAGAACTAATCTGACAGTGACAAAGCTTTGAGAAGCTCTCAAAGCATTTTATTTCATTAAGAACAGCTTTATGAAATCTGCAAGACATGGATGCCACAGCTTCAGACAGCAGAGTCAGGAATAAGACCAAGATGTCACTAAGCTATCTCAGAGCAGCTCTGTTTCCTTCTAGCTTCCTTCACAATTCAGATGCTACTAAGCCTGTAAAGATAAGCAATGGTTTATTTGTAGCACAAAGCTTGGAACGCCATTGAAGACAGTTATCACTGTGGTTAATGAAATACTGATTTGATGATAAAAGTGATTAATAAACCCACGTTCTAATCAACCTTTGTATCTGAAGTTTATGTCATGTGTATTTTTTTTAATGGATGGTCTTGCACAAAGTACACTTTTTACACTGCTTTCAAAGACAAAGTAAGTAAAATCCTTTGAGATACAGTTTTAAGTATAATCTCTGTAAGTTAATTCTTTTCTTCCATCATCTCAGTATCTGGAATACTTCATTACTAAAAGACATTGTCTATATTCAATCAGTGTTTAAAAAAAAAAAAAAGGCAACTGATACTATAGAGCTGAAATGATGTTTCTGAACATTCACCACAGCTAAGATAGTAAAACAAACTGCTTCTGTTATTCAGACACTTAAAGCAGGTTAGGGCAGTGAAGATATACATTTCAGATCTGATTAATTTTTTATTTCAAACGTGAGAAGCAAAGAAGTGTATATGCATACTGCTCTACTACCTTTTCTTCTAATATACTAACCAGTCAACAAAGAATTCCAGATAACCTTCATCTGGTTTCTCCAACTTCGGTGTCCCCATTTCAGCTTTTACACCAACCAAGATATCAGTATGTCCCTGTTAAAACAAAAATACATCACACAGCTAGAACTATGGTAAAAATACACTCAGTTAAGATGCCTACAGCAAGCAAACATTTCTGTCTATTCTGTTGTCTTTGCTACTTGCTCTATCAGAGAATCTCAAAACAGAAAGGCTTTAGGAGAACAACGCTGTGCCCACATAACAGCTTTCTCTATGTTTAGAAGACAATCTTAATAGCTACAGCTTTTTATCATTTCAGTTCTGGATCAGTTATTTCTGCAGAATATTTATAATACTGCCAAAAAATGCCTGTTTTCTTTACAGTCAACACATGCCAGAAGTAGCTTTGCTTCACTTAAAGGAACAGAACTATTTTTCCAGTGATTAAGCACAACAGTATCTAACATTGAGTAGCAGACCAGTTTCAGGCTCCGCTATAAATCTAGCTCAAATAGGTTAAGCTAGCTTGAATTATTCACACATCTTGTCATTATTTCCTCAAACCATCATTTCAATTAGTGCTAAGCATATACATACATGCATAGGTTGCTCTGAAAAAAATCTAAAAATATTTCCATGGAAAATATAAGAGCTGCAAAGAGCACAATAACATTATTCAATTGAAGAAATTCTCAGCTACAAAACTTTATCAACACAGTCACCATCACTCTGCACCACCGAAGAACAAGAGACTGAAAGCTGAGATCACAAAAATCTGCACCAGCAGAGGTAACCTACTGTTTCATAGCTATGACTGCACCATTGCTAGGAAAACATTGCCTGAGCAGTCCATTTTCAATCAGCCCAAAACAGGGGGAAGACAGGAGGCACCAAATCCGGACTACAAAGTGGGTGTGATAGGACAGTCCAGCCAAATTTGGCAATATGCTCCATGGTCTTGAAACTGGTATGGGGCCTAGTGTTACCAAACTGCAAGAGAAAAGCTGTCTTCATCTCTGTCTGACCCTGAAAGTTCAAGCCTTCAGCTTAGTCAGTGTCACAATGCAGCAGTCAGAGCTGATGTTTTGTCTGGGTTTAAGGAAATCCAATAGGATCACTTTTTTCCTATCCCAAAAGACAGTGCACAATACTTTACCCACTGAAGGCTGTCTCTTGAACTTTTCCTTCAATAGGAAATTCACATGCCACCACTCCATGGACTGCATTTTGACACCAGTGCATAGTGGTGACACCACATCTCATCACCATACTGATGTGATCCAGGAAAATGTCACCTTCAGCCTTGTATTGGTCCAATAGATCCTGACAAACTTACATATGGTATTCATTCTGCACCTATGTTCATGGGAGCCACCTGGCACACATTTTCTGATATTCCAACACTGCTACCATCATTTCTGATGCACTGAAGCTAATATTCAGCTCCATACAGAGTTCCCTGGTCATAACCTGCTGATTTGCACAGATGAGCTGATCAAGACACTTAATTTCATCATGTGACAGCTGTGCATGGCCATCCAGAACATGTCTTGTATTTCATGTTACTGTTGCCACTGCTGAAATGCATCACCTACTGCTTCACTGTGCTCACATCCATTGCTGGGCTTCTATCAACATTCAGCAAACAACAATGAATGTCAGTAGGTGCAAGTGCTTCAACATAAAGGAATTCAATTCCACATCTTTACCTCAGAAACATTTCCATGTCAGACACCATTCTGTCAGACTGCCCTTCTGCTGCTCACATGGCAACAAAATGGAATGAAATACTGGTGGGAAGATTCAACCTTTATTGCCATACCAACATCTGCTTCTAATGCTGTGGGCCAACATCAAACAGGAGACGCTGTTTTTAGAGCAGCTCTCACAATAGAGACACACACAGACATATTTACAGACAGCAACTATTTATCATAAGCCAATTGAAATAAGCCAGTTTCATCAGCAACATACGTGACTCCTGAGAGATTCACCTACCAGCTTCACTCTCGCAGATCCACTTGTGTTGGATACCACATCCGTTTCCACTTCTGCACATCTGTAATCTTCACAGCCACGGCCATCCACACGGAGATCCTCCTAAACACGACAACCAACGGATTTTGCTTAAGGGAATCACGAACGTAAAGATAAGAACTTGCGCTTTTAAAGTTTCCTTTTCCCGTGCCAAACACATCAACAAAGAACGAAAAGCAACTTTCACGTAAGAGTACAGCAGTACAGCCGTTACCTGGACGCCGTGTATGATGTACAGCTTCTCCGCATCACTCAGCACCACAGACGCCATGGCGCTGCGCGCGCTGCACAACGCTTCCGCTTCCGGCCGGCAACCGGCAGCCGCCCCTCCCTCAGGGCCAGGCGGCGGGAACGAGCAGGCGCGCGCCCCCAATCACGTGAACTCCCCTGGGGGGGCGGGCTCTACGCCTGCGCACGGCCCCATTTCCGCAGGCGGGAAATGGTGCGGGTCGCCCTCGTGTAGTGTGCCGCGAGGCGGGTCCTGTCCTGTGTTTGTGCCCTTAGCTGAGGTAAAAGCGCCCCGAGGGCACTCGAACGCGTAGAGAAGGCTCGCTCGGCGCTCAGACCGTGAGGAAATACGGAGTTTTACCTCATGGAGGCATCGCGGTGGGGAAAGCAGCGCTGGCCCAGTGCTGGTGGTGTGGGAACGCGATTAAAGGCTCCGGCTTGACACTACACTGTAATTGAGGGTTGTTTATTTTGGCAGCTTTCTTTGAAGTTTTGCACGCTCAGCACAGCTCTTGTGTATCGTTTCCAAATTATTTTGAAGCTGCCTTGAAGCCTCATGCAGGTGTGTGCCAGCTGATGAGGGCCCACGGGCTGTACACCAGTGTCAATGGTAGCCAGGCAGGCATGTTTCTGGGCCACGTAGTGCACTGCTGTCCTGTGCTGTACTGAGCACTGCCCCACAGGGAGGGCTGGCCATGGGGCACTCAGCCGCCAGCTGGACCTGTGGAGGCGAGCAAGAGACAGGCAAGAGAGGCAGGCAGAGCCTCTGTTGGCCTTGTGGAACATTTCTTGGCCCTGATGTGCAGTGTGAGACCTGCTAGAAGGCTCTGTACAAAAGTGAGCTCATCTGAATGGAGATGTCGGCAGGTGTGCTGCGGAGTGCTTCCCACGAAGTGAGATGAGGCTCTGGCTCTGGTCCTGCCTGGCTCCCAGCCACATCCAGCCACATCCACAGTTGGTCAGACACAAGGAGGGGCAGCTTGCTTCCTCGATTTCTGCCATCCCAGCCCGGAGCTGACCTAGCATGGCCAAAGCCTCGCGCAGTCCAGAAGCACAGCCAGTAGCTCCTCCCTGCTCACAGGCAAGTAGGCATCCAGGCAGGTCTTGAACGTATCCAGAGAAGGAGACTCCACAACCTCCCTGGGCAGCCATTTCCTACTTTGATAGTAAAGTAGCTTTACACAAGCACAGGAATTCTGGATCCAGCTCGTTTATCTGTCTCACGCAGCCTCCAGGGCTGGCAGATCACTGCCCCTTTCAGGAGGGGTGGCTTCCCTGGAGGACTGAACTCCTCAGAGGCAAGGTTGCCCTGAAGGCTATCGGATAAAAGGATGCGCTGTCGTTTTTAACAAGCACACAGTGATGTCCTTTCGGCAGACGGATGACCTGTGTTGGCTGAAATTAAAAAAAGACCGGGAGGGAGCCCGCAGAAGCTCACGCTGCCCGGCGAAGCTGCGGGTACCGCAAGCGGCAGCCGCCGACCGGGAGCGCCGAGCAAATCCAGCGGCCCCAGGTGCCGGCTGCGGCTGACCGGCTGCGCGGATCCGCTACCCGCATGGTGCCGGGGCCCAGAGCCCGGGGCGGGGCCGGCCGCCGCCACTTCCTGGTTCCTCCGGCACCGCCCCACCTCCTCGCCGGGATCGCGTAAGGGGACGGCGCTTGGGGAGGGGGGGCCGCGCGCCGCCGGGCCCGGTGCCGCGCGCGGGGCGCCCGCTCCGGCGGGGCGGATGGGAGGCTGCGGCGGCGGGCGCGCGCGGCGTGAGGGCGGCGGGCGGCGGCCTGCGGGTAGGTGGCGGGGCCGCTCCGCGGGGCCTCGGGACTCTGCGCCGGGCGGGCGGGGTGAGGTGAGGTGAGGGGTGATGCGGCCGGGAACGCCTCCGAGAGCGGCCCGTGGCAGAGGACGCGGGGAGGCCGCTGCGCGCTGCCCGCGCTGCCCTCCTTCCCGCCCCGCCGCGATGTGTCCCGGGGTACCGCGCGGCTCCGAGCGCTGCCTCTGGCCCGGCGGCGTTTGTCACCCCGCTGGGCGGGGTACGGTCTGCGAGCTCCGTCCGTTTGGTTACCCGTCGGGAAAGCGGCGGTGGTGCGATGTGCCTGCAGGTTGGGGGCACCTCCAGCAGCGTTTGGCACGGGCGGCGAATTGCCGTGTGCGTTTCTGTTGCCATTTTTCATTGTGAAAAGTGTGGTTGCAGACAGGATACGTGTTTGTCGTTGGAACTGCTTGTTAGGTGACAGACGACAATGCCAAAGCATGATTTACTCCAGCTGTTGGAGCAGGTTGGGGGAAGATGAGTGCCACAACCCTCAGCCAAAACGCACCTGCCGTGCCCCATCTGAGCCCATGGCAGCACACATACCCAAGCAGAGATGGCTCTGTTCTCACAAACATAAGCTCACTTCTTAGGATATTTGCTTCCTGCACAGCTCCAACAGCAGCTCTGTGTGATCAGTGTGGTTTAAACCCATGTGTTGCATTATTTCACAGAAATGTGCTCATGCAGCCTTGCTATTAGGGCACGTCTGTAGTGGGGTACAGCCTCATCAAGGAAACCGTGGTGCTGGCAATGGGCAGTCACGCTCACTGATCTGACACGTGTGTGGCTGCACCCAGCCAGCCACCAATGGTGTTATCTGAGTCAGGGTATGGTTTCCCTGTCTCCCTGTAGAGTACAGTGACCTTTTTCTTGGAATGATGCACTGGAATACAGGGTTTTGGTTGTTTTTTTTTTTTTTTCATTCCTGAGAGCAGATGGTTTGTAATGCAATACATGACAATGTATAACATTGTCCTTTTTTATTTTCTTTGCCCTGCGCTTAGCTGGCTGAAGCAAGCCAGAGCTGAATGATGTGATACCCAGAGCATCACATTTGCTTTGTGCACATAACTAATCTGAAATTCCAGGTTGCTTTAGAGTAAATGAGAAGTTAGAGTTTTCCTGATGAGAGCTGTCTGTTTCCTGGATTGTGCTGATGAGAAGAAAAAAAGATAGCCGGCACCTTGCTTGGAGCTGCAGTGCAGCAAGCCTGCCAGGAGCGCTTCACACATTGCCCTTCTGAGAGGGAGCCCAAAGGAGGATGGCAGCTTTGGATCTGCGGACACTAAGGCCCCAGGCAGGGCCAGCTCCCAGCCAGTATGCAGAAAGTGACCAGTATGCAGGGGCAGGAGACCTCCCTTGGACTGCTTCTGGCATTGCCCCAGGAACCAGGTGCTTGGCAGCGCCTTGGGCCGCATCTTCAGCCAGGCAAATCTTGGGTACCGCTGCTCCGTGAGCTCTAATTGCAAGGAAGGGTGCAGAAAGCTCAGTGTTAGTGTCCTGTGGCTGAGGGAGGAATGTTGAATGGGAGGAAGAGCACGGCTCTTGTTGATGTTTGTGCTGCTCGCCTGGTGGTGGACGGTGCGTTTCACTGTGAGTTTTGCAATAAGAGGAACCAGGCTTAAATGTGGTGCAGCTTCTGGAAGTTAGAACAAATGGGCACAGATTGAAGCAGTTGTGGTGAATAAAGGTAATGTGAAGCACTGTGCTACTTAATAATAAAAGAAACAGTTGCAGCCTTATTTCCAGTCTTAGTGAAAAGGCTGCAGTACCCCAACAGAGACACAGAGGTGAGAGGGCTGTAGCAGGGGTAAGGGTGGGTGTGATGCACATCTTTGATCTTCGCAGTGACTGCTTGGGTCACTGAATGTAGCATGGAGTAGACAGGCAATAGATTCTGTTCTGCAGTTAGGCTGATTTCTGCGTCTCAGTATTTCAAAGGATAACAAAATTAATGTTTACCCATAGAAAGTGGAAGACAGAGACTGTGTCTGCCAGCAGAACACTGAGCAAAAGTAATGCTGTTTTCCAACTGAAAAGTTCTCTGTTTGAAATCCCTTAATATAGGACAGCTCTGAACGTGCAGGTTTTTCCAGTTCCCAAAGTGGCACCAGAGCTCTCCCTTGGCTAACTCTTAACATCATCGCGTTGGATTGTGACAACCCCAATTTTCACATGAGGCCTCCGCAAGCTAGAGATGATCTGTTCAGTCACTATTTCATCAGTGAATTACTTAATGTACACCCTGTATCTTTCTGTATCTAGTTGTTTAGGTGCAGCATTTAGGTATTTTAAAACTGGGTGCCTTGAAGCCTTCATCCACTTGTGAAAGTCCCTGATGTGGTAAGGAAGAAGTGTAGGCCAAAGTGGGGAAACAATAGGAGAGGCTGAGCGACTGGTTCGTGCTTCTGGAGGGCCTGCAGCAGCGGCAGGGAAGACCCAAATCTTGGGCTCACCTGAGTGATTCAGAATATTCTTCAGGCTGGGATGGTTCTGGTTCTGGATTGAGATAGTTAAAGTGTAAAAACCAACAATTATTTTCTACTTTTCTGGAAAATACATTCTTTATGCCATGAAAACAGTGTGGTTTTTAACACAAGCATTAATAACAATACCCACTGTATAAGGAAACCTTTCCCTTTTGCTTTCCATCTTTCCCTTTTTTCAAAAGTCTGATGCAGGACAAATGGAGAATTTCAATTCCCTTGATCCGGTGGCTTGCTGTCAAGTCCTGAGTCAGCATCCAAACTGGGGCAGCTCCTGTCACATCTCACAGGGCCTGACATCTCTGCAGCTCTCTGACAACTGCTGATTGACATGGCTGACTGTGGGATCAGACCGTGGACCTGACCTGATTCCTTACTGCCCGTGTGACCTGCATCTCCTCGTCACCTGGTTCAGTCACTCTCCTGTGCTTGTGTACCTTGGACAGGAACTGCTTTCTCATTGCCTTTTTTCCTGCTCTCAGGCCAGCAGCGAAAAGGCTGTGTAGGTGGAGGTGCAGCTATTTGTCAATTACTCAAGACTCTCTGGCGAGTCTTTGTTGCATTATAATTTATTTATACAATGTGTATTTGTTGGTTAAACAGAAATGATATAGGCATTAGCCAGGAAGCTGTTGCCATCTGTCCTGAGAGACTGTGTACCACAGACATTCTTTTAATTAAGAAAACGTGGCCTTATTTTCCTTACTATTATACTATCGGAATTCCGCTGGCACTGCAGAAGTTGCTACTTTTTTACAGCGGTGTCGGTGAGAAAACTGTGAGATTTGTGCCCTATGCGGCCACCCCTGCCCAGCCTGTCTGTGTTGGCCCTGGGGCAGGAGTTCCTAGATCTGGCAGGTGTCACTGAAGTCATTCCTTCTTTGTACCCTCTCATTAGGCTGAAACTGTTTCCCTAAGTGTGGCCTGAATTTCCAGAAGAAAAATCTGAGCTTGTTTCTACCAGGCATAATGCTGTTCTCCTGCTCCTGGGGTGGCTGCAATCGGGCTGGCAGAACAGACTCTGCCCTGTGTCGTTTTGATCTGAGTCAGAGTGTGGTTGGTGTAGTGCTGATATCCTGGGGCCTAACCCTTCCCTATGCATTTTACTGGAGAGAGGTAGTTTGGGTCTGTTTGGTTTTGAACTGTATGCGGAGTCTTGAAAACATTTTGATGAATGTACAATTCTATAGCAAATTTAAACCTGCTGATAGTAGGCTTGCTTTTTTTTTAGCTGCCTTTCACAGAGCTGCTCGAAGTGTCCCGTTGGCCCTGCAGGGTTCTATATGCCAGGAGTTGCAGAGTGCTGGGCAGATGGATGTGTGGATGGATCTGCAGCAAATGGCCAAAAATTCACAGCATTCTCATTCCACTCCTGTTGATCAGATAAAAGTTTTCAGAAACCATTAGAAAAAATACACGGAATATTGGTATTTCCTTGTTATTCTTGCTGGAACTTGCTTTGGTGGGTTCTGACAGCTTGTTGTTAGATCTGGGCTGTATGAAAGTGTGGGAGGAGAAGCAAAGGTAAATATCCTGTTAGTTAGAAAACACACTTTCATTTCTGTTGCAAAGAAAGTTTAAATACCTGATGTTTTCATTAATGTTTTATGTCTGAAGACTGAAATGAATTTCAAAATAAGCTTGCAGTTTATATGTGTATTTATGCAAGAGTAGGTTACTTATTGGTGTTATAGAGAATGTCTGGTGCCTAAAGATCACTTAGTGTAGCAATTGTGACCAGTAATGTATGCTTGCTTCCTCCTTTTGATGACAATAAAAAGTTAACCTGATAATTATTTATGGGCTCTCAAAATGCTGTCAGTAAACTCTAGTTCTCTGTGTTAGAAAAACTCTCTTCAGGAACGTGTTCATCTTAAACAATGTAATAATAACCAAACCCTCAAGAAGGACACAGAGTTTGCCATGGTCTCTCTCTCTCTTTTTTTTTTTTTTTTTTTCCCTTTCCCTTAAAATTGCTTTAGTACAACAGGCAGAACGTGGCAGTCCGTGCAGGTAACTCCTTCCCACAGTTTAATGTTAAATGGACTTGTAATAGGGGAAACACTTGCAATGTCTTTGCAGTAATAGTGCAGTGTGGCAGGTCATACTGAGGTATTTCCCAGCATGAGTAATTAGATGCAAATCAGCCGGGTGACGGTGAGCTGTGTACGTGTTGTGAGGTCAGAGCATCAGACTGCATTCAGGTACCCACTGGATGAAGGCCCAGATCAGTTCTTCATTCATTCTTAATGTGTTGTTCAGCAGTTACAGGCCATCAGAAATAGTTTGTTGGTTTTTTTACATGATTGATGTCAGGTCAAATACAGTTAATTTATAAAAGGTGTAACTGTATTGTAAGTGTCCATTGTAGCAGGAAGTGGATTTTAATTTATTTTGTTTACATTTCTAATGCATATGTTACATATTCCTTGGATTATTCCTGTGGTGCTAAATGCCTTCCAGATAAGAAAGAAAAGTTTCACTGTGACATGGAGCTGACTGGACACGTTTGCTGTCACTGACGTACCTGCTGGCCTCCCTGCAGCCTGATGCAGTGATCAGGTCCTTGCTGCTGGTGTTCACCTGTTGTGTGCTCCTGAGCATGAGGGGCTGATACACCCAAGCTGTGTGTGACAAAATGAGCTCCTGTGCAGGGTGATTCCAAGGCAGGGCTGCCAGGGCAAGTTACTCCCCCATGCCACAATCCCTGTTTCTTTTTTAATATGAAAATTCCAGGTTAGCCAGCATAAACAAGAAGATGTTTATGTAGGTCAGAACAAGGAATTAAAAACATTCACCATGTGGAAGGGGAGTTGAGACTCTGTGCTCAGATAGCATGGCTGTTAGATGATCTGGATGAAGGGATAGAGTCCGCCCTCAGCAAGTTTACTGATGATGCAAAGTGGGGAGGAGTATACATCTGGCTGATGTACTAGAAGGCTGTGCTGCCATTCAGCATGGCCTGGACAGGCTGGTGAGTTGGGCAGAGATCTGATGATCTTCAACAGGAGCAAGTGTAGGGTCTTGTGCCTGGGGAGGGATTACTGCATGCAGCTGTACAGGTTAGGGGCTGACCTGCTGGAAAGGAGCTCTTCATAGAAGGACCTGGGGGTCCTGCTGGGCAACAGGTTGGCCATGAGCCAGCAGTGTGCCCTGGTGGTCAAGAAGGCTGATGGTATTCTGGGATGCATTAAAGAGTGTGGCCAGCAGGTCGAGGGAGGTGATCCTCTCCCTCTGTTCTGCCCTGGTGAGGATACACACTGTATTGTGTTCAGTTCTGGGCTTTTCAGTTCGAGAAGGAGAGGGAACTTCCAGATAGAATCCAATGGAGGGCCACCAGGATGATGAGGGGACAAAACATATCCCTTATGAGGAAAGGCTCAGAGACCTGGAACCGGTCAGCCTGGAGGAGAGGAGGCTGGGATTTCATCACTGTTTATAAACATCAAAAGTGTGGGAATCAAATGGATGGGAACAGACAGGACAAAAAAAACTGCAACACAAGAAGTTCCATACAAATAATGTACACAGAAACACATACGCGTTTCTTGAGTAATGAATTGTGTTCATATAGCAATTACTGATTTTTCATTTTGTTGCTCAGTGATGACTCTGAAAGCAGTCTTAAGTAACTGAGTGCATTAATTAACACACTTGTCCTCCAGCCAGAAGTCAGTGTTGGAGGCCTGTGCTGCATCTTACTGGCTTCCTTTCTGTACTGCAGAAACTGGACCCTCAGGTGAGGTGCCTCCAGTGTCCTACTGGCACTGGTATGCCTCCAAGATCCTACCAGTTCCTTCTTTGGCACTTCTGCAGCAATGGTTTTATTTTGCGCTTTATTTCTGGGAAACTTCCACTGGAGTGAGAGAGCTTTCTGCTTAGCTCTGCATTTTGTTTGTCTGCAGAAGTGTGCTGTACAGGGCTAAGCCCACAGCTGTAATCTGTATGCGTTGGTCTAGCTTTCAGCCAGGGCTGACCTTAAGGTGACTTGTCAAACTCATTCCTCTGTTGGTGGGAGTTGGCTTTTCTTGTGATCCTTTCACTCCTTTGCTTTGGAAAACAAAACACCAGGGGAAAAAAAAAATACAAAGGTGTCTCACAGGGTCTAGGCAGAAAACCCTGAAAGTCAGTGCTCGAGGCTGACCCAGCTTGCTGCTGTACCTCACATGTCAGGTCTAAAACTTTAGTTTGAAAACTGAGCATCTGTATTGCAGTTTTTTCATGCTTTTAATGCATTATGTTACAGTCAGTTAAAACACCATTGTCAGGCATGAGTCTTTTGTCAGTTTTGTTTTGAGCTAGCAAACCTGTGTAATAATTCTAGTAAGATTATTAACCAATGCAGTGAAGGGCGGCTGTTATCTTGGGGAGGGGAGTCTTTCAAACACTTTTGAAGTCTGTGTGAATGTGTATCCTTGCATGCATGGTGAATGTGTAGGGAAAAGATGTGGGTTTGCTGGTAGGTAGACATCTGTCAGAACTTAGGCCAGCAGATTGTAAGGGTAATCACTGCTTCTGGAAATGAAATGCTTCTCTCCCTAAAGTGTCTGCTGTCAGGAGCTTTAGCTATAGCTGTGGTTAAAACACATAATTGCAGTGTGATGGGTGAGTTTTGCAAGCTAGTTTTGTTATTTTTTTCCTCACCAAAGCAATTGAGATACACAGGCACTCCTTTAATCTTGATTTTTCTATCCTGTGTGATATGCCTGTAAAGTTGGTAGGCTGTAACATTAACCCATGTGACTTCTTATCAGATTCCTAAAACATCCCAAGCTGTTTCACTTGGTATCGTACTGTGTGTTAATGGCAGAAATAGAAGAACATACCTAATTAATCACCCTGTTCATTAACAGCCTTACCCTTAGGCCATGAGAAACTCGATGTCCTTCTGTGAATTTGGCCCTCCTGAAATAACAGCAGAAAGCAAGTTGTCATCCTCCTTACTGTCTGGATAGGGCAACGGCATGGCTGTGGAGCTTGGTGCTTCTGAAATAAAGCTGTTCCCTCTCCTGGACAGAACTGGGTAAATGCTTGGAGAGAAGCTTGAGGTTCTGGATGCTTTTGTGATCTCACTGGGTTTCCTATAAAATTCATCCATTTTGTCTAATCAATAGTATGTTTTAGGGTTGTTGTTTTGTGTTTTTTTTTAGCAGTTGAATGCAAAAACAGCTTCAGTGTGACCTTTTTGGCAGGAAATGTAACTAGCGGTGAGCATCACCTTCCTCTCTCTGAATTGAGATGGCAACGAGCACTGTTTTTTGAAAGAGATGAAACCAATCCTTATGCATTCAGGGGGCAGGCAGCTGAGCCTTCTGTGGGTGCGTGCAATTCAGTGTATTTAGTAGCCAAGCCCATTTTTGTGGAAGGTGGGTCCTGACACATCGGTTGTGGCGTTTGAGTGTTTCGAATGCTGTGCAAACACTTCTTGAGGAATGTCCCTAGAAGAAGTGGCTGGGTGTGTGAATGGCACTTGCACAGCCTCCAGGAGTTCCAGAGGGGGGTGAAGCAAACGCAATTAAGGGTTGGAGTGAAGTGGAGCAGCAGACTCCAAGGGGCCATGAAGCCAGTGGAGAAGGGAAGAGCGCAGTCCAGGCAAGACTGGAGAGTTCTATAAAAATCTTCGCATGGTTGCTGCTTCAGGAGTTGCTACCACTACTGCTCAGCAGTTTGTGCAGATTGAGCCCCCAGGCTCTCTTTTCTTCCTTGGGCCTGACCCAGCAGAAGGGGCTCTGCTCTGTTCTTTTTCCCCATGGTTTTCCCACGTGTTTCCGCAGCCGCTCCTATTGGCACCACCTGGCCACTGTGCTCTGCATCAGAGCGCTCGCTGCCTTTCCTCAGTGGGGGTGGCTGGAGTCAGCGTGTGGTTAAGCAAGTCTGAAAAGCACTTAGAGAGTCTTCTTGGGTAAGAGGTGTTCTGATAAGTATGAAAGTCTGGCTTCCAAAGCCATTATTCTTTGTTCGGTTCATCTTTTTCACTGTTTCTACTCACGCCATCCCATCCTGCTGTGTGAAAAGATCTCAGAGGGCCTTGTGAGGCAGAGTGCTGTTTCCGATTCTCTTTCAGATGCAAGTATGGACATAATAGCCTATGATGATTTCTTCAGTCCACCGCTTCAGAGATATTGAAAGGACACCCGAATACCTCCAGCCGGAGAAGTGTGTTCCACCTCCTAGCCGCCCTTCCTTGGGAACAATGTGGTTTATTCGAGATGGCTGTGGTATCGCGTGTGCCGTTGTCACCTGGATGCTGGTGTTCTATGCTGACTTTGTAGTCCTTCTTGTCATGCTGGTTCCCTCAAGAGATTACGTTTATAGTGTCATCAATGGCACGCTGTTCAACACCTTGGCGTTCCTCGCTTTGGCTTCACATTTTCGTGCTATGCTGACAGATCCAGTAAGTATCTCTCTCTGCATGTCTCAGAAAGAAAAAGGCAATGTTTTTCTTATCTGATCAGTGTTGAGTAACTCGGTTGCTGAGTGAGTGGCAGATTTAAATAACTTCTGCGTGTCAGCCTGCTGAGAGAAGCTGCTGATGTGGGAGGCTAATTCCTCATCCCACTCAAGTCAAATGCAAACTTGAGGACCCAACTGTAGATTCTCCCTGTGAGAGCAGCTTCTCTTTCTGCACTGAAGAGGAGAGCGTTTCTCCCCGAGACTTTTCTCACAAATCCTGGATCTCATGTTTGTGGCTTGTCATGTCTTGACAAAACAGCAAAGCAGGAAAAGCTGGTTCTGGTTTTCTGCCTTGGCAAGCACTACTTCAGCAGAATGGAACAGAACGTGCATAGTTTTAATGCAGCCGTCTTTCACACTAGTGTTTTAATGAAATTTGTTGGACCGTGCAAAAACAAATATTATATAAGCATGCTACCAGCTGAAAGTTCTTGGGCAGACAGGAAGTGTATAGATCGTGGCACTCCCTTACCTCTGTTTGTAGGACACTGCTTCTCTAATAAGAGATGGATTAATATCACAAAGGTTATTCAGAATGGCTTGTGCTTATTTTGCTTATCAGCCTCTGAAAAGTACATTCAGTTCAAAGCCCCATTCACACTAGACTGTGGAACAAAAAACAAGCTTAGGTTCCTTCTCTCCTTCCTCCTGAGTCTTTGTTCCTGCTGGGAATGGCAATGCATCGCTGATACACAAATTATTCCCTCCAAATGTCGTTTCCTACTTGAAACCTTGTTAGGTGCTGTTAAAACTTCAGTGTAATTTTTATTGCTTGATTTTTCAGCTCTTCCAGAAGCTGCAGAGCTGCAAAAATTGCTTGGTTTGGGGTAGTTTTGCAGTTTGTGGTAAAACAAGACTGATACAGTGCGTGCTACTGATTCTGAGCAGAACTTAGAGCAGTAGTTGAGGTGCTGAAACTTCTGGTCATTGGGCTCACAAATACAAGGTTGTAGCAATTTGTTACATAAGCCTTGTTGTTGTTGTTAATTATTATATGTTGTGTGGCTTTAATATTGAGGACCTTCAGGTCTCTGGTGTTATTTTACAGAGCTAGTGGTCACTCTTGAAACAAAAGCTGCATTTTAAAGCAGGCTGACAAAGCACAGTTTCAGAGAAACAGATAAAATCTACAGAGGAATCTGGAAAAGGTATCTTAATTCCCACTGTGTGGTTGGTGGGATTTTTGTGTGTGGATGGAGGGAACCAGTGAGATTTTGTTTTGTTTTTCATAGAGATTTTTAGAAAGAAATCAGCTAGGCAAAATGGAGAAGGGAACACAGGGAGGGAGTGCAGCAAGGCAGGGTGGGCAGTGTGAGTTTGGGAGGGAGGAAGCTGTGGGAGATGGAGAAGAGCAGCACATCTGGGACCAAGATTGAAGCAGAGCACTGCAATGAAATTGCTATCAAAAATGAATGAACACCTGTATTTTTCAGAATTGATAGCATATCATCCTTTTCAGGAACTGCTTCCTCTGTGTTCTCCCTAAAAACATTCCTTGTGTTTGGAGCTTTGCTGTGTGCTCAGAGAGCATAAGTTGTACTATTTTGTGTAAACTGGTCTTGGTCATCAGCCCTAGACTGGCCAGGACTGTTGGGAGGTTTGTGCAGAAAAATCCCAAGACTGCTCAGGAAAGCCCTCTAATACCTGTTTAATGTGTTTTGTTAATATGCATTATTCTTTATTGCTGCTGAGAAATAATATAGCTTTAAGAAGAGGCTGCTCCATCAGAAGTGTGTTAAACCGTTCAGTGCCTTGTTTTATTTCAGTCTAAAAGCCCACACCTACAGGGATGCGTTGTGTCAGAGTCCCAGCAGTGATTTCATATGTCACGTTTCATCCTTTTTTAATCCTTTGACCAAATTTATGGCCATGGGCTGGAAATTCTTGAAAGTTTTGAAAACTTCTGGAAGTTCAGGCTTCTGCAGCTTCTCCTGTTTAAAGACACTTATTTTAATGTCACAATTGCACAAACAAGAACATTTTGCCTGGTCTTACTTGGATTCTTAGAAAGAGTGCGCTGTTTGAATGTTACACCTTGATTTAAATATCAAATGCACAACAGAGGTATAGCTATAAATGTATTAGATGCTTATCAGCAACTGCTGCTGTACACAAAGGTACTTCAGAAGTGGCTGCTTCTACTTGAATTAAAACATCTGCTGTCTTCAATTTGTGATGAGAAACACTGGGATGAAAAATCCATTGATAGATGTGGGGAGGGGGGGGTAAAAATTCTTGAATATTTGAAGGTTACTGTGGGATTACAAAAGCCTGATTCCTTCTGTAAGGATGTACTGCTGCTTGCTTTATTTTGTTTTTAAAAGTGATGTTTGAATATATTGTTCTACATATTACATCCATATATTAGGACCACCTTGTTTTAACTTCTTTTCCTTCTTGCTCTTCCCAACTCCCTGTTGATATTAGAGATTTTTTATTCCTATTTTCTCTTCCTCCTCTTCCATAGTTTTAAGTCATCTCTACTCTTCTGAGCACTGACAGTGTTCACAGGATAATCTTCTGGTTTGATTTCCTTTTCTACAGGGTGCTGTGCCCAAAGGTAACGCAACAAAAGAGTTCATTGAGAGTTTACAGCTAAAGCCAGGACAGGTGGTTTACAAGTGCCCAAAATGTTGTAGCATCAAACCTGACAGAGCACATCACTGCAGGTAAGGTCTCTAGACCTCAAGAATTGTCCTGTGTGCTTGAATATTATTGGAGTGTGAGACTTGAGTGTTTAAACTGGGAGTTTGGCATTCAAATTCTGTTGCCAGGAGTGGCAGATGCATTCAAGCTTCTGTGTAAAAAAAACTCAGGTGTTTTCAGGGACGTTTTCATCTTCAGCAGGCTAGGGCTGCTTCTTGCAAAGTGAGAAACAGTTCACATGAGTGCTGCTTCACACGTGTAATTGATATTCTGTGATTTGTAGTATTGGCTGTCGTGGGAAAAAAAGACTTAAAATGACTTTAAAAGGTTCATTAAACACCAAAAGTCCGTGCAACATAAATGTCTCAAAGGTCAGTGGCCTTTTTACTTTTAAGTCAGACCTATTGTCTATAGATTTAGAAATGATACTTAATTTAAAACTGAAGTTCAGGTAACGGTGTAACAGAAGTTTAGGTAACAGAAGAAAGCAACTGGTAGTGAGATAGGTACGAAAAACAGTGAGCAAAAAAGTGACTACTTCCTAACATTTCCTTCTGCTTTTAAAACAAGTGAACCTGCTTTCCAGTAATCAGTTAATGAATTTGCACTGGTATCCTTTCCTTATCTACCCCCAAACCACAATGCATACTGAGAGAGCTCATGTCGTGGTTACTGGATTCAGGCAAAGGTCTTGTGGGAGGGAAATACACAGATATGAGTGAGCTGAACAAACGTGCTCTGCTGTTTGCGTTTTTCAGATCTCAGAGCTTTAGTGTGCAGATTTTTTGTCGCTGGCTTTTTGTCATAATCCAGCTCAGGAGTTGGTTGTTCAGTAGGAGCAATGTGGTCGTTATGATCACTTATTAATGCCGCTGTAAAATCCCCTCTGACACGTCTTCAATTATGAATGAAGCTTCACAGCTAAAATGCTGTCTGGCTGATGACTCACACTGTAGGCAAATGAAAAAGGCTGTTTGGCAAATCATCTCCACAGTTCTTTTCTCCATTCTTTAAGTTAATTTTATGGACGTTAAAATTTGGAAAACCCATCCACTGTGCATTAATGGTGTTGAGAATCTTCAGCCCAATGTTCCCTGTGGAAATCTGTTCGACTTTCACACCCCAAGTCTGCGCATGTGCATCAGCAGGAGTTGTTGCTAGCTGTGTGCATGAGGGACCACAGTGCTTTTTGATTCACTTGAGTCCCTGGTGCCCAGCAGCATTCCTTCCAGCGTTTGGAAGCTGGGCGGTTGAGGGGAGTGTATTTTAGAGTATGGGCAATTCCTGCTGTTGACCACTTTTGGTCCTTGGTTCTGAGCTTCCTTTTCAACCAGTTAGTTTCACCTGCCTCTTATCCATCTCCTTTTGGTACACAAGCAGAGAATGATAAGTCTCCTTCCAGCCTTAGCTGCCTCCTTTGTGGAGCTCTTTGGTTTAAGTGCTTCAGGCTGTCCCTATTTGGGGAACTAGGACCTGGCAGCAATTGTAGGGGTTGCTTTAGTGCTCAACCTGCTTCACAGCTGAAGGGAAGTCTGTGTGCTCGCAGAGAAAAACACACAAACTAATTTAGAGTACAGGGAGGCACCCTCCTGCTTTATGCCATCCACCCTTCTCCCTCTGCCCCCTTCCCTTTTTTCCTAGTGAAAGGTTGGTGTTTGTCCTGTTGAAGTCTGAAATTTTCAGGCAGATAACTTGTTTTTACGACACAACCTGATTTGAGTACGACATAGCTCAAAAACATTTTTGAGTTGCTTATTCTAGCAAAATGAGGCTTCTGCTGTTGTCTACTGTGTCTGGGACCAGTAGGTAACAGGCTACCTGTGCCTGCCTGAGCTCTTGCTCTGGCAGCCTGCCCAGGCAGCCATTCCCTTAGCATTAGGACTGTAGCAGCTCATTCAATGCCAGGCATGGTAAGACTCCTTGGGATTAACTCCTCCCGCTGTGCAGTCAGTGCAGGGCTGTTCAGAGAGAGGTTTTTCCATTATTTATTCATAAGTGCTCATTGGAACATGCTTATGTTTTTATTTGAGGCTCTCTTTAAGTGTTTGGGTATTGTTGTTTATATTAAAGGTCAAAATATTTTTAATCCTGAGAAGAAAAATGAAAACAAAATGAAGCAGCCTTCAATTCTTCCTGTTTCAGATCCACCAGAAGTGTTCTGGGATCGCTGCTGCTGCTCCCTCTTATGGGGCCATTGTTGTTTGTTTTGGGGTTTCGTGCTTTTTCATATTTGATTTCTGTGCTTGTTTGTGTGATGCAGTATCAGGAGACAGCCTTTCATCTGCTATCATATGAGAAAGCAGCAGAGAGAAAGACCTCTTTTATTATGAGGCTCGGAGCAGTTCCTGACTAAACAGGAGAATGATGTTCAGACAAAGTAGCAGTCTTTTAATTATTTGACTTCAAGCCACAGTGTGCCTGCTGGCAAGAACTTGAATTTTGATTTTATAAGTGTGGTTTTGTGAAGTACTTTAACATCTAATTGTACCTTGGATGTATACTGTGGTAATGTTTTCCTGACTATCTGCCCTGGCTGTTTTATGCCAGCGTGTGGCTTACCTTGTTTTCAAGAGTGTATTCTCATGTTTGCTTCAGTTTTGTTCTTCACAAGTTCCTGCTAGCAGATAATGATAACAAATAAGCCTTTACCTTCTATTAGCATGGTCCGGTAGTTGGTGATCCTGCCTGTGGCAGGGGGGTTGAAACTAGATGATCTTTGAGGTCCTTTTTGACTCAGGCCATTCTATGATGATATGATCCTATGATTAATAATTCTGGGAAGTGTTCTTGCTTGTTAACCGTTTTTCACATCTTTGTGTTGCAGGTGGGATTTTTTGTTAGTTTTTAATCTGTGGATGTTTTCAGAGACTATCTAGATTAAAACCAGACTAACACAAAATTTTTCCATCTGCCTGAATGTATTTTTCAAACTGTATTTTGGCAGAAACTCTGATAACATTATGAGAATGTGTATTGCTTGACATGAATTTTTCACGGTGGTCATTTTGTACTGTGTGGCTGATTTCAGCAGACATAGAAAGAACCAGAAATATTAATGTGTTTTAAATTTAGAGGTTCCGATGTCACAGAATCATAGAGTGGCCTGGGTTGAAAAGCACCACAAGGATCATCCAGTTCCAAGCCCCTGCTGTGTGTAGGGTTGCCAGCCACCAGACTAGGCTGCCCAGAGCCACATCCAGCCTGGCCTTGAATACCTCCAGGGATGGGGCATCCACAGCCTCCTTGGGCAACCTGTTCTAGTACCTCACCCCCCTAACATGTGTGACACCTTCCCCCTAATATCTAAGCTAAACCTCCCCTGTCTTAGTTTAAAACCATTCCCCCTTGTCCTTTCACTGTCCACACTCATAAACAGTCATACCCATTCCTGTTTATGCACTCCTTTCAAATATTAGAAGGCCACAATAAGGTCTCCCCCAGAGCCTTCTCTTTTCCAAGCTAAACAATCCCAGTTCCCTTAGCCTTCCCTCATAGGAGAGGTGCTCCAGCCCTCTGATCATCTTAGTGGCCCTCTTCTGGACTTGTTCCAAGAGCTCTGCATGTTTCTTGTACTGGGGGCCCCAGGCCTGGACGCAGTGCTGCAGATGGGGCTTTACAAGAGCTGAGTAGAGGGGGACAATCACCTCCCTCTCCCTGCTGGCCACCCCTCTTTTAATGCAGCCCAGAACGCAGTTGGTCTTCTGGGCTGCAAGCGCACACTGCTGGCTCACGTCCAGCTTCTCGTCTACCAGGATCCCCAAGTCCTTTTCCACAGGGCTGCTCTCAAGGGGTTCTTTGCCCAGTGCGTATAACCCCAGGGATTGCCCTGAGCCAAGTGCAACAACACCTTGTGCTTGACCTTATTGAACCTCATTACGTTTCACTTCTGGTTCTTACATTTCTTTGTGTTCCTAAAATTTCTGTGAAATCTTGTATTCCCAGAATGGAATGTGCTATAAATAAAGTTCTGTCTTCTTTCAGCGTTTGCAAGAGGTGTATTCGGAAAATGGACCATCACTGCCCATGGGTCAATAACTGCGTAGGAGAGAATAACCAGAAGTACTTTGTACTGTTTACAGTAAGTATTTCACATGTGTTGTTTGAGGCTGTCTGGTGTGCAGCCACAAAACATTGCATGTCATTTCTGAAGCAGCTCCAATGCTGGCTTGCTTTTCTTTCCTGTTTCAGAAGAGCTTTTCAGGGAACTCCTGCAGACTCCTGTTTCACTAATTGGGGAACGCACACAATATAGCAATATAGGAAAAGGCAAAACAGAAAGTGTTTGCCAGGGCTTTGTGAAGCTTGCTTTGTCAGGTGATTGGCATGCTGTTTCCCAACTCATGTGGTTTGTTGATTCTTTCACTCTGCTCTGTGTTTGGTAGAGTTGTGACCCACATATAGGGTACCTAAATGCTGTCCTTGAAGGAGCACCTGTCTGAGATTGCATAATAAGAGATGGTGTCACATCTTAAGCAAGGAGAGGGAAATCTACATCCCCTTTGGAAAGCATTGTTCACGTTCTACTTGCAAGCAGTTTATTTTTGTGCTTGAAAACCAAGGAGATGTTTGACTTTTTGTGCTGTTTTCTGTAGCATAACGTGTAAGAAAGCAGGAGCACAGACTTGAATACTACTTACATGGGAGGGTGCAGATCTGTTTCATCAAAAGGACTGCAAATGTCTTGTGGGAGCAGCGTGAGTGTTGCAAGGCTGCTTGTTAATGATGCCCTATTTTATTAATAAGTCTTTGGAGAAATCTGTAGGTTCAAGGAAGCGTGTTCTCATGTTACCAAGTAGAAAGGGAGAAACTTTGAATTAAGAGGAAAGTCTTGCTCCGAAATTTATTTTCTACAGTGTGGTTTCTTAGGATGTGGGTTACAGAACAAAACCCATTTTTTTTCCCTTGAGCAAGGTTGTTTTCACTGTAAGGGATAAGCAAGATGCTTTAATCTTATCAAAAGGATTTCTGTTTCCCTTAAAACTGCCATTACTTTCAAGTGAGCTCTATTAAACAGCCAGTGTAGTTGCAAGAGAAACAAAAGATTTTGTTTATTCTCTTTGTTTTGTTCCTGTTTACTCTCTTTAAGACCTGGGGAGATGAAAGCATGGCAGCACCTTCCAGCTCCAAGGGGAGGCAAAACACTCTCCTGTCACCCTTTTCTGCTCCCACAGGGTCACCCTGTAACAAAAAGTCCCTCACACCTAGTAGTCTGTAGGTCCAGGAAAGTCATCCTTCTAGCCCTGTCTCTGTAAACTGTAATGTGGTACTGCCAGTGGTTTGAAGTATGTTGTTGCAAAGCTAAGACAGGATTAAAAAAAAATGGATTAAGTACAAAGTGTTGAAGGCTGACAGGAATTTTCCATGCCAGTGTCTGCCTCAGGGAAAAATACTTATTTAAGGGAAAGAAATGACATGTGGAAAGCAGATTAAGTGCTTCTTGTGGCTAAAACAAATTAGCTGTTGTTTCACTGGTAAACTGTAGTGTTCTCGTGCTTGAGAGCACGGACATGAGCTTTGACAGCGTGACACCTGAGTGTCAGAGAGCTGCTGGTATCTGAGAGCTGCACTGTGCTCGGCAGAGGAAGGGTCGCACGCTGTCTGGGAGGCCACACTGAGGCGCAGCACACCAGGCTTTGTGTCTGCCTGGCTTCCAACTAAATATCTTCTTCCCATGCCCTTGGAGCTGTTGGTAAGGCCACATTGAGTTGGGTGTTACCTTAGTGTTTATCGCCTTCAGGTTGCTTTATGTGGGGGATGGAGGTTGTTGATTTTTGGTTGTAGGGTTCTTCTAAGTCTGAACACTGTGCTTGATTTTAAGGTGATGAAAGTGAGCGTTCTGGTCTTTGCCTGATGCCTATATTGCATCCTTTTTCTTTTTTTCTTTTTTTTTTTTTTCCAGATGTATATAGCACTGATTTCTCTGCATGCTCTAATTATGGTGGGATTTCACTTCTTGTATTGCTTTGAAGAGGACTGGACAAGTGAGTACTAATGAAGCATCTCATTAAGATATCAGATTAGAATATGGAAAAGACCTTATAATGCAGTTTGCTTGTAAGACAACCCCTTCTGTATCATCTTTAGGAGAATGGTATCAAAGCTCTGTTATGTGATCTGCAATTTTATTTTTTTTATGATCAATCCTGGAACTTCATAATTTTTTCTGACCTGCCAGGATTTTTGCCCTGAAAAATGTCCTATTCTGTCTTAGGGCTGAAACTGCCTGAGAGGAAGCTGAGACATAAAGACTCCTAGATACTATGTGTGCAGTAAACTACTATTTCCCTAAATGCAGCACTGATTTCCTGAATGCCAAAGCAAGATAAGGAGAACGTGTATGCTCTTTTTAAAAGGCTAACATGAATCATTCTTGCAAGACTGCCAGGAAAACATGTTAACTCAGATCCAAAAATCCACCCTCACGAGAACAAGGAATTCCTTTCCACACACACACACACAAAAAATGAACAAGAACCAAAATAAACTGCCAGCCCTTGTTCTGGAGCAACAAATGAACAAGTTTTCCCATAAGCATTTGAGATATGTTTTTAAAAAGTGGGAGTATGGGAAATCCTCTAGATAATGCTGAGTTAATGAGACAGGTGCCACAAGTTGTGTGTGCAGCTTGTACCTTTTCTTGGAAGGGCATTAGCTTCCTTTCTCTTAGAATTCCCTTTTCTTAAAACATGTCATTGTGCCTAAGGACTGGTTTTGTTAGCTTATAATAATGTGGAGGATGGGTGCACTCACTTATGAACTGAATTTGACAAGGTTGTTCTGCAGTTCAGAACTTTGCCAACCAGCTGCTAGATGGCACTGAGAACATCTGGATTTGACTATGGTGGCAAGGACCATGAAGGAAGGATACATCATTCCCTTCCCCCAAGCCTGTGTCTGTGGGGGAAGCAGTTTCCCATCTGTCCCAGGTTTTGGCAGCAGAAGAGGGAGTTTACAAGAGGTGGATTTGTTGTTCCAGCTGCCTTACATTTTTGCTGGTTGTGCCTGATTATTGCTTATCTCTCAAAACTTCACATCTGCTCATGGAGGAAATACTCATCTTTTCTTACTGTTTTTGTGACGATGCTGTGTGCATAGTACACGTGGCACCTGTTGAGAACAGTGCAGTGATTGCCAATACTAATATTTCAACCTACCTCACAGCATCTCAGAAGAAAAACAGAACCCAGAAAAAGAAAAATCACGGATGAAGGAAGTGTGCTCAACAAAAAAATGGACAGATGGGTGCTTGTTTTTCAAGGCAAATAACGAGGCACTCTGCTTAATTTGTAAAGAAATGGTGATAGTTTGCAAAGATTACAATTGGAAAAACATTACCTGCAAAAACATACTGCCAAATTTGATGCATATCAGGGAACACTTTGTGAAGACAGTGGAACCAAAAAAGAATTCTGTCATCTCAACAAAATCTTTATAAGGTTAAAAACTCAAATGGACTCTGTTATAAGAGCTAGTCACGTGGTAGCAAAATAAATCTGAACTATTTACTGATGGTGTGCTTATTAAGCAGTGCTTGGAAAGTGTGGCAGCTATAATGTGGTATAGCTACTGATGGTGCCCCAGCAATGGCTGGTAAAAAAGGGGGATTTGTTAAATTAATAGAAGGTGGTGCAACTGCCACCAGCAAATCACGCTTGATATAATATAAATAAATAAATAAATAAATAAATAAATAAATAAATGAAATATCACCGCATCATACAGCCAAGAAAACATGTGTGCAAAAGCTTTGAAAATGGATAATGTCATGCAAATCATCATCTAAGCTGAGAATTGCATTGAAATCCAATGGATTGAATCCTCACCAGTTCCAGGAGTTCCTTAAAAGAATGGATGCAATTACAAGGACATCGTTCACGTTTCTGAAGGAAGGTGGCTAAGTCAGGGTAAAGTGCAGAAAAGATGCTATGATTTGTGATATGAAATCATTCGTGGAATGAAATTTGTGCCAGAACTTGAAAATGAAAAATGGCTCACAGATTTAACAGTTTTTGGTGGATCTGATCACTCATTTAAATGAGTTAAATGTGTGTCTTCATGGTGAAAATCAGCTTATCTTTTCTGTTTCAACCATGACAGCATTTGCAATAAAACAAATTATGGCAAGCTCAAGTGATGGCAAATGGCCTCATGCATGTTGATGTGTTGGCTAAACACAGGCCTGTGAACAGCAAAAAATACACATCTCTGCTTTCCGGTTTGATGAAGGAATTTGGGAATAGGTTTCAAGGTTTCCAAAAGAATCATCATTTTTTTTGTTTATTTGTGACTCCATTTTCAGTTGACACAAATACATTACCTGCACATTTTCAAATGGAACGTATAGAGTTGCAGTCAGACATTCGAGTCAAAGAAAATTCAGTCTTGTTTCGTTACTGGATTTTTATAAGGTCTGCCTTAACAGAGAAAAATATCCTGTGCTTCACAATCATACCTTATTCCCATCATTGCTTTTTGGCAGTATGTGCACTTGTGAACAGTTGTTTTCAAGGATGAATCACAGGAAGAATAGCATTCCATTGAAAATCTCTGATGAGCACCTGGAGATCTCACTAACAATTGCAGCCACTTCCATTGAACCAGGCACTGATGCATCAGTTTCATAAAAACAGGGCCAGGCATCTCATTAGTTTTATGGTTTTGCTCCTCTCTGCTTTTTACATTTTAATAAAAAAAATATATAAAAAACATAAGTTTTGTTACTTTACTATGTATTTTACATTTGGCCCAAGACAATTCCCCTTCACTCAGTGCAGCCCTGGCAAGCCAAAAGGTTTGACACCCATGCTATAAGTGAAAGAGAGTAGAATGGGTTCCTGAGTAGCAGGCTGGGAAAGCATCTCACTGAAAAAGGTGAGATGCTGCTTAACACAGAAAAACTCTGTGGTGCTTTCTTGTTGCCTTGTTGAACTTGTAGGGGTGACTGCTTCATTGTTGTGCATCCTCAATGTCTGAGCTTCCCCATGCACCTTTTTGAGTATGATCATCATGCAGTTCATTCTGAAAACTCATGGCCTAGTGGGTGTTTTGCACATGCTGCATTACCTGATCTCTCCCCTTCCAACTCTCTTGTTTTGTCTTCACAGAATGCAGCTCCTTCTCTCCACCAACCACAGTGATCCTTCTCATCCTCTTGTGTTTTGAGGCGCTCCTCTTTCTCATCTTCACCTCGGTTATGTTTGGGACCCAAGTACACTCCATCTGCACTGACGAAACGGTGGGTGTTCCACACCCTCTTTTCTTTACCTGTCTCTCACCGTTAATAGAAAGAGTTACGGGGTTTTGCCTCATTGCATGGGGAATTCATGTGTACCCTTTGAGGAAAAATCCACTGTGACCAGCTGAATCAGCACAGTGCTAAATTGTCCTCTGAAAGTCACTGTGAGGAGAGGTGTCCACCGACGTAATTATTGGCTGGGATGTTGTGGGATCAGACATTACCCTGGGTAAGGTAAAGCATTGGTATTGGGGTTTACTCTGTACAGATTCAGGAACTGTAGATTCAGGAATATTTTTCCTTTAATGAAGTGCTGCTACGCTGGTGTTTCAGATTTTCGTTGTGTCACAACATGCAGCTTTGCGTGCTAGAAAATTTTCAGTTTTGCTTGTTAATCTGTTCAAAATCCATTCTCAAGGAGTGGGGAGGGAAAGCAGGGGAAATTTGAGACATTCCTGGAAATGGAATACAGTCCAATAGTGGTGGGTACAGTCTGCTGCAAAGCCACCAAGTTTGAATACATCACAGGAGAGGTGACGCAGTAATGTTGCTGCCCTGGTGTTGCTGCACTTGCTGCTTCTGTAACGGTGGAGCTGGTGCCTCCTGGTGATACTCCCACAAGTGAATGCTGCTGGCTTTCACCAAGCATGCTCAGAGATACGATAGCTCATATCAAAGGACTGGAATTAACTGGAGTGACTGAAGAGAAATTACAGTCTTAAAAGAGGGACCAGAGTACCCTGCCTCCTTTAGTTGTCCTTATCCTTCGCTTTACTTGTGGCCAGTTGAAGCTAGAATAAATATGTTGGCTGCCATTGGAGAGCTGTGACTGTCATTGCAGTGTGTAAGAACCCATCGCTCCTGAGCCTTCTTTACAGTGCATGTTTTTCTGCCTGGCTTCTGCAAAAGGCTGATGTTCACACTGTGGCTCTTCTGTGCTCAGAGGAGGGCTGCAGCTGTTCGTCCTGCCAGGGCGACCTCTGCGATGGGGTACAGAGTCATATGGAACCAGATCCTGTCTAAGTTAATCAATAAGTGTGTAAATTAGCAACGCTCTCTGTGAAACCATCACCCAAATTTCTCAGTCTTTGAAACCTGGCAGGAGTTTTTTGAAGCTGCTTCCCATAGTCAGGTACACAAATAAGTCCCCTTCATTTCCTATCCCCTTGAATTCTGGAAGCTCTCGTGAAAGGACGTAAGCCACAGACTAAAATTAAAGATATGGACACTCCCTGTTTGGCTGTGGGGGTTTGCTTTTGATTTACGTTTTGTTTTTTTTTAATACTCAGCGGTAAAGACTTTGCTCTTTGGAGGCCTCTGTGTTGTCTGTTGATTTTGCTAGCTTTGAGCTAGCTGGGTCTTGCAAACAATCCGTTTTGAGTGCAGGATGTTTCCAGGTGAAATTCTACCTGATACGGCCCCTTTCAGAATTCTTTGTCACATTCTAGAGACAGGACTGTGTCGTGACCTTTCTCACCTTCTTCCAATCCCCAGGAGACCTCCTTCTCTGTCCTGTGCATGCTGGCCCCCTGGGATGCTTCCTCTCTGCCTGGAGGTACCCAGATCCCCAGTATTGTGCCGTTACCTCTGGAGGTGACATTCTCAGGGGTCACTGCAGCTCTTGCAGTTGGCTGAGCTTTTTCTGCAGAGCACCCAGAACTGGTAACTTGAGACACACAGATGTATTACAGTGCATTAATCTATAGCACAGGAGAGATGGGAAGGTCAGGAGAAGCTTACCTTGCAAAAGATCATAAGTTAAAAATCAGAACAATCTGCCTGCCAGCGCTACCCGTGGAAAAATAATGCTCTCCAGTGACTGCACCAGTTAATTGTGCTTCTGTGGCAGTGTGTTCAGTCAGTCAAGGCTTTCCTGGAGACCCAGTTCGTGTTTATTGTACAGCACAAATTTGAGTTTGTGGGGTTTTTCGGTTTTGGTTTAAAAGTGACTGACCAGTGAGTGTTCCAGCTGATTGCTTGATGGCTTATTTTTATTTTCCCTCTAACCTGTACTAAACAATGCTAATGATTTCTCTCCAATTGGTATCTTATATAATCTTTTCTCCCTGCTGTCGGCCCATGCATGTTTTGGCAGTGATGTAGTGAAACATGAAGAGGCAGACTTAGCTACGTGGAGCCATGGGTGAATCTGAACTTCCTGAACTTGCTTGGTGAATCTTGGAGCATTATAGAGATTATCTCATTGGGTTTTTTTGTCTGCAAACCTATGATTGTTTCCTCTGATTTTTTTTCCCTGTCTGGTTAGCACGTAATGCTTTCAGCCATTAAAGTATGTGCTTTGTATTTGGTTTTATGTGGTGGGTTTTTTAAATTGAACAATACAGACAATTGGAGGTCAGGTCTTAAAAGGTTTGATGAAATTTCCAGGCCTGAACAAAATTAAAACAGTTCTATTTTGGAGAAACATTTTGTATCTTCTTATTAGTAGCACTATTAGTATTAGTATAAAGCAATGGAAAGAGGAGAGGCTCTAAAGATGCGTTTTAATGTTCTTACTCCATCCTTTGGATAAGGGGTAACTGAGAATAGACCTTTCCACAAACCCAGAGCGACAAAAACTGAGCGTTTGACTGAAAATGTGATATTTCTGTTTTCAGGGAATAGAGCAATTGAAAAAGGAAGAGAGAAGATGGGCTAAAAAAACAAAATGGATGAACATGAAAGCAGTATTTGGCCATCCGTTCTCTATAGCATGGCTTAGCCCATTCGCAACACCAGACCAAGGAAAAGCAGACCCATACCAGTATGTGGTCTGAGGAATTCTTGACCAGCATTTCCACTAAGATAGAAACATATTGCAGCACTACTGTTTAAATTTTCCATGAATGTTTAAAACGAAAAGCAAGACAAACTTTTTTTTATGTCTAATGAATGGCTGATAATTGCAGAGAAAAAAAAGCCCTGTATTCCACAACTTCAGATAATTCTATATCTCTGGCTGAAACTGCTGCTGTTGCTTTTCTTTCTTTCTTTCTTTCTTTCTTTTTTTTTTCTTAATCATGTTAACTTTACTGGCTTTTGTTTCTCTCTGCTTTCTGTATGGCATAACTAATGTGAAGGGAGTTTTCCTCCTCCGTTGTGACCCACCTCTTCTGAGTAGGTTTTCATGCTGTCTGCTGACTGTGCTGAGCTCTGTGGAAGACATACGAGTGCCAAGTCCTACACAGACACCTTTGGACTTCCTGAAGGAGCGCGCTGCTCTTTCAGAAGTGAACTTGAACTGGGAAGTAGACCCTTGACTTTACCAAAAGGCACAAGATGAGAACGCAGCAAGAGAGCCAGTTGACCTGGTGATTGCACGCAGTTCAAGTATCTAAAGCAAACATTGCCAATGCTGCTTCCCCCTCGTTTTTCCTTCCAGCTACAAAATCGATTTCATCTTTCTGGCATTATTTTGTCTGTTCCCTCCCTGGTGCGCAGGAAATTGTTGCCATCATAGGGTAACTGTGTTGCAGATTTAGAAGACTTTGTGGATTTTTAAAATGCCTTACATTTGCAGAAAAGAAAGAGGAAGAATCTGATTTTCAAATGCTTAGAATGGGAGCAGCATCGTGTTGGCGTGTGTTTGTCTCGTAAATGAGCTGTTGGAGCAATACCTGTTAAATAGCTTTGAAAAACTGATGTGAATGCCTGGAGGCAGATGGATAAAGACTGACCTTGGTGGGATGTGTCGTTATGCCAGGGAGATGGATCCTACGTTCTTAGCATCGCCCTGGTGTGGAGCTTTGTGAATCTTTTACTGTGTATGTGCACACCTGTGTGCAGACGCACACCGTGTGTGTGTATGTTAAGGCTGGGAACTGGTGGTGGTAAGGAGCATGTGTACTTCATGGACTGTGTGGTGATGAAAGGGGAGGGACAGAAGGCATTCCAGAAACAGGTAAGGCCAAACCATTCATAACTGTGACCGATGCCTTGTGTTCAGGCAGAAATTTTGCTATATTTTGGATCATTACTCCTATAGACTTATCAGAATATTGCGAACAAAGGAAAAACTACTCATCAGCTGTGTCCAGGAATTCCAAGGAATCTTTTCTTTCCTTGGTTTAAATCAAAGCCGTATTTTTTGGAAGATGATGTGTTTAGACTGCTTCAAAGCCATGGGGGGATGGAGGGAAATCAGGGAAGGAGAAGTTTAGCGGATGTCTCATTTTGGAAGTAATGTGAATGCTGCATCTTTTCAATCTGTCAATGCTTCCATATGGAAAACAAATGCAATAAAACTTTTCCAAAAAAATTCTTTGCTGTTCTTAATTTCTTGAAACTTTGGGAAAATCTGTAACGGCTTCCTGAGCTTGGTCTGAGCAGGATTGGCTTTTGTCACCCAGATAGGTAATGAATGAATGCATCTCACCATGTAATTAATTGCTGAATCGCACGTTCTGGTTTTGTTTTATGTCCTGTTATTCACTACGCATTTTGAAGGAAGGCTGCTTGCATTGTTCTGGCATTTAGGTCATTGTGAGGAAAACAAAAATGTAATTACTCATTTCTGGTTTCAAACAAACACAAAGTGTTGAAGTATTACCCAGTATTGTATTTTTCAGGCAAGCTTTCTGATGTTCGGAGCCGGCAGGGATGTCTGTTGGTTGGTGCCTGGTGTGCCTCTCTAACTGGTGTTCTCTGGTTGATTTGCACTGTGCATCTCAGAGTGTGACTTGCTGCAGTGTGGCTCAGCACCAACACGAGGAAGGCAGGCTTGCTGGCTCTCCCAAACAGCACCACCTGATTTCAAGTGCTGGTTCTGCTTTGGTGCAGCTGACAGAAATGGGAGCACAGATGTGGAGAGAAGTTATGGTGTTTGCAAGTTCTGCTTGTGTCTTCCTTTTGGATTTTACAAGCATATGAAAAGAACCAAATGCCTTCCTTCTGAGCCGTGAGAGCGGTCTGCAGGCCACTGCTCCTGAGCCAGAGCCCCCAGCACCCTGTATGGCACGGCACAGAAACGGGTGCTGAGGGAGATGGGGCAAGGAGCCAATTACACAGAGCTGCTGGTAAAACAGAAGTTCCTGACTGCTGATTCTTTTCTCACTCGGCTCTATTTATCTGCGCTTGCACATCACAAAGTAAACTTATTTATCTGGGAACCTTTCTTTATCTTTCCCTCCCTTTCTGTAACCTTCCTCACACCCTGCTGACTGTGGCAGCCAGGCAGAATGTGAACAGGAGCTGATTTTGAACAGTTTTGTCTATTTTGAATATGTGCCCAGGAAGGATAAGTAAGGCTGGGGATGGAGAGGAGAGGGAGAGCCTTGCCCTGCCTGCTATGCTGAGCTGCCCTTAGCACAGCTTCGAGCCGACCTCACGTAGTGCCATGGTTGGCAGATGCTGTTCTGAGTGATGGGTGGTGGTTTGGAAAGATGGGGCTTGCTGCTTCGAAATCTTAACAAGCCTTATCCCCCATTTTAGCAGTGTGGATTGAACTGGGTGACACAACCAATTGCCCAAGGAAGCTGTGGTGCTTTATCCCTGGAGGCACTCAAGGCCGGGTTGGATGGCACAACCTGATCCAGTGGGTGACATCCCTGCCCATGGCATGGGGTTGGCACTGGGTGGGCTTTAAGGTCCCTTCCAACTCAAAACATTTCATGACTCTGTGACCGAAGACAGGGTTAGAGCTGGCATGACCAGGGAGGCTTTCCATGCTTGGTGCTTTTTCTCTCCAATGTTAGCGCGGAAGCAAGCTGCTGCTTGTTAATTATGTAATATCACATTAATTATGAGGCTCACTAGGTGTGCAGTTGTGGTGCCACAGAGGTCATTCACATGTCGTTGTTTTCCCCTTGCAAAGCTCTGAGATGATTTGTGGGTACTTAGAGAACACCTCCAGAATCAGAACGGAGGGCTGGTTTGTGTCACGCTATTCTAAAACTGCTGTTTTAAATGGTTTGAACTGAACTTGCTCATTTTTCCTCTCCTTGAACATCTCCAACCTCCAGTCCCGTGTCTTCACTTCTCGAGGAGCAGCGTTTCTGCACTGTCACCTTTGTCACTGTCGCTCTCATCTGCAAAGCTGACTCCATCTCATGTGTAACGCAGAAGGTGGGCATGAGGATGTGTGCCTGACTTCACGCAGGACTAAAAACAAGTGCTCCAAGTGCTCTGTTTCTACATAGAGAAGACTTCCAGACCTGAGCGTTGACAGTCAACCTGTGTCCTTACTGGTGGCCATGGGAAGAGGATGGTTGGAGCTGACCCAGTGCTCCTTCACACCAGGGTTGGCCTTGGACAATTTGTGAAACAGAAATAGCATTCCTCAATATTTGCTCTAAATTGGTGCCAAACATGCGTGTTCTCATATTGATTTTCATTACCAAGCAACATCTGTCTGTTGTAATTCCAGTGACTGGGAAATATGGCAGTTTTCTTGTAGCTGAACCATTGTAAAGAAAAAAAGCCCAAATAAGGTGAAATTTCAGGTTGTGATTGTATTTTGTTACTTGTTGGAAGGACTCTAAAACACTGGGAGAAGAGGTCTCAGTTTAAAAGAGGGATGACCTTCCAGAAGCCTTATTACCAAGCAGTACCAACTTAATTCGCCAAGGTTGGGGCTGTCCATGCGCTGAGTCGTGTTTTGGGGATTTGATGTTACTGGGCATGAATTTGTTGGTACAGCAGGATTTCTGCCTGTCTGTCCATCTCAGTAGCTGAGCTGTGAGCACCATGATGCAGCTCAAATACCTGTTTTGAACGTGAAACGACCCCAGACTCTCCTCTTCTTGCAGGGCATCGAGCGCCTTAAGAAGCAGAAGCCGACCTGGGAGCAGACCAGAGGCTGGGAGGGGATGAAGGCGGCCTTTGGCGGTACCCTGTCCCTGTCCTGGCTCAACCCCTTCTCCAACATGGACTGCAGGAGCCCACCGCCAGCCCCCGCTGCGCCCGCGGCCGCCACCATGACGCAGGAGGAGATCGAGCAGTTCCTGGCTCGGGAGGTGAACATCCAAGTGCCCCATGAGTAGCAGAGCATCAGCCCAGGGGCCAAGGGACGCATCCAGGCGGTGTGTTATTTTATTGACTGCTTGTGGTGGAGAAGCAGGGTGGGTTTTCTTGTCTTTTGTTTTGTTTTGTTTTTAATTGTACTTCGGGTGCTTCTGGTGCAGAATATAATTCAGGACTATTCACGGGGAAGTCGGGTCCAGCACCAGCAGAAGCAATGCAAATCTCCAGAGCAAGTTTAACCCAAAGTGAGAGCCACACGGTTTTTGCAGCTGTGTCCTGCCTTACTGAGCTGCTCTTGTGTGGCCTTCGGGGAGAGACCCAGGTGTGGGGCCGGAGCTGTGGGGCCTCGTGTCCTCATGGCACTGGCTGGATGAGTGTTGCCTCTCATCCTGCCAGTGCCTGCATTCAGAGGTGATGCTCCAGGCATCAGCACTCTGACAACCAAGATCTAGACTGGTTTTGGGCCGGTTTTGCCTTGTCATCTCCCCCACCTTACTGACCAGTGACACCTCACCTGGGCAACGTGCTCCTGGATTCCCACCCCCAGTTGTGCAGCTTTGAGGCCCTGTAACATGCAGCAAAGATAATTATCGCCTTGGGAGAGAGAGATGAAGGAGTTGGGGGGTAAACCGAGGTATTGTGGAAGACCTGGATTAACTTTCAGTTATTTATGAAAGCCCAAATTCCACTGGGTATTGCAAGGGGGTTTTTTCCTCATGGCAGTGATAAAGGAGTTTAAACATGAAGTAACAAACAGTCTGGTGGGTGGGGTGGAAGCTAGGAGTACAGTGGGGCCAGAATCCAGGAAAACAAGGGGAGATGTTTTGAACCATAGTGACCCCCTGTGTTTCTCCTCTTTTTCTATGAAAAAATAGATTTGGGGAAAAAAATGCATAAGGAACTGTGTGTTTATCTAAATGTCTTGGTAAAGGGAAACTTGCTGTACCTTGGGGAAACTGAGGTATCGTCTTGCTGTAGTGCATGAAGCAGAGCGGTGTGGGAATTTGAGCCTGTCTCACTTCTGCACCAGCCTTCATGTCTGCACGGCAGGGTCTGCATCACAGGGACACTGGGGACATATGTGAATCTGTACAGGGAGAAGTGGGGATGCATAAGGTGGAAGCTGGGAGCTGCTGATTTCAGTTAACTCTCCCACCTGTGGGTGGAGGTGGGGTTGCAGGGCCCCACAGGAAGACCAGCCGTGGAAGAGCAGCATTTGGTGTGACAGCTGTATCCACAGTGCTGATTGCTGGGCTGATCTTCCACTTCCTGCATTGCTCCTCAGCAGTGTGGGTTTGTGTGCTGTTTCAATAGCTGGAACTAGAAAGCTGTATGAAAGGAGGACTCCTCTCTGCCTGCTCCATGCTGCCACATTTTTGCCCATCAAAGGTGCAGGAGCTGGAAGAATGTTGGCATCAGGAAATCAGAGCGTTCCCTCACTCCTTTGTACCCTCCTGCTCTGCCTTGGTACAGCATGGCAAAAGTCTGAAGCAGCAGAAGTCCTCATGAGTTGGAGTGATCTGCTTCATTCCAAGCCTTGGCATCCACCTCGTAGTGTAACTCCCACCAGGTAGCTTGAGACCAAAGTTATTTCCAGGGAATTGAAACCAGCCCCCTTCCCCTGCCTGTGGCATCGTGCCTTCACCTCCAGCCCAGGCTGGGCTCCATCAGCACTGCAGCATGGGGCTTCAATCCATGATGGATGGGATCACAGTGGCCATGTGCAGCATTCATGGTCTTTTAAAGCAGGCTTTCTATGCAAGTAAAGAACCTGTATCTCTTGGAAATATATATATTTTGGTAATCATAACTCTGGTTTATGCCTCCGGATGCTAATTATACTTATTAAAGAATTAATATTTCCATGCTGCAGTTTGTGCTCCTCCGTTCCCTGTGCTCCACTCTGCCCTGGGCAGTCTGACCGAGTGCTTGGTTAGCAAACCTGCCCACGGGAAGGGGGTAGAGGTAAGTGATCTTTGAAGCCCCTTCCAAACCAAATCCTTCTATGACTTTATATCAGTCTCTGGCAGGGGGTTAGACCTGAGTGGTCCCATCCCACACAACCCAAACCATTCTGTGATTCATATAGTAAAATCAGGCTGCAGGGGACTTAATGCCACTCAGTGTCAACCC